AGACCTGCAGACTCAGTCGAAGTTAGACTGAACGTATGCAATACCTCCTAGAAGATTTAAGAGCACAGCATGGTTTATATTTGCATTGGAGTAGTTGATCGAGTAGAGGGAACTTTTGTTTACTTTCTTTATCCTTCTTTGGACAAGAGTCAACATTATATCAAGGATATTCTAGGGAAGTGCATTTAATTACTCTGAATGTAGGAGCCCATCCCTGGCTTGAACCAATAGTTCCAGGGACTGGCTAGTCTGGGTAATTTAGATATCAACTGGAGATATCAGGTTAAGAACAAGCGCTCCAACGTTCTAACCTAGGGTTGTCCCCCCATGTCATTTATCAAGACCTAACTGTACAATCCAAAAGCCTCACTCTTTACTACCTATCTTCTCATATAAATTATAACATATCCTAGGCCATCGGTGATTTTTATATCGTTATCGCTACGTAGTTATATGATATATATGGACTATGCACATGCCTAACCCCTTGCCCTTGTCGACCACCTTGAGCTGGAAATACTTTTGATAGAAAGCGCTGGCTTTGGTGGTCAAGATGCTCATCGTGATAATCGGTCTGTTGGTTGCCGGTCAGCTATTAGATTAACATCCACTTAGAAGATATAACGGAAAGTATTCATAAGCTATTTTAAGAAGTACTGATTTCCTGTCTACATAATTCGTTAAAGTGAGAATGTCAGAGATCCGCGGACCGCGGACCGCGGCTTCGCATATGCTCGTGCCCTTAAGGGATTCCTGTCTGAGAGTAGTCCTCATATATTTTGGCAGTGCTGTTTGCCATGTGGGCCATTAAGTATGGACTTGGTTGAGACTGTGGCTGATCGCCATTGGAGATGGAACACTGCTACCACCGGTTCACTCTTGGGTGCTTTTTATGAGGGCCATATGTTATGAAACATGCACTAAGTGCGGGATCAGAGGCCCTGGCTGCTTTTGAGGATAGGGGCATTGCACGAACTGTCTATGTAGCTATTTCACCAGTGAGGAAATGTGAAGGGCAATGGATGACTGATGTTTGCAAGGAAATGTAGTCAACAGTGTGGGAAACAGCGCCTACAGCCACATGTTGACCAGGTTAATGAGTATGGATATTAAATTTCAGAACTAAATAGATATTACAGATAAGAGATGAATAGAACAACTTATGGTACGTATCCTCCAGACAAGGATCTGTCGAAATTGTGAGCACTAGATCCCTATTCAGGGACCGGCTCACTACTACCGACTAGGTTCGATATAGATGCCTAGCGCGCCAATAAGCCAGAGTTCACGAACGCGTTAAAAAGTCCTGTGCGCGCCGCCACTGAGCCAGCAACGGCCAAGACAAGTACATACAGCCAGGCCCTTGTCCGGCGCACCTTATTGCCCTGGCGGTCGAACGGCGCTTTAGCAGGTCGGTAGAGCTTGCGGAGCTTGTCGGACGTGTATGGCGGATAGCGCGCGGCCATAACCTTTTCCAGCCACGAGGGAGGATCAATATGCGTGCGCAGGTGTGTGAACTCGAGAAAACCATATGGGCCATGGTACTTGCCCATGCCGGACTGGCCGACACCACCAAATGGAGCACCCTTAGCAGCTACGTGAAGCATGCAGTCGTTGAACGTCACGCCTCCGGACAAGGTCTCAGCCAGGATTCGGTCCTTGTCCTTCTGTTGCTGGCTGAAACCGTAGATGGCCAGCGGATGTTCCATGCTGTTGATTATGGATATCGCGGTGTCCAGGTCGGCATCAATAATGGGTAATATGGGGCCGAAGAGCTCCTCCGAGAGGAGACTGTCTCCGGGTTCGATGCCAGTGACGATCGTGGGGCTGAAGGAGAGATCTGCTCTGTTCCGCTGTCCGCTATAGACAACATTGCCGGACGTATTTTGTAACAGCCGCTCGAGACGATCGAAATTGCGTTCGTTGATTATGTGTGTGTAGTATGTTGGCAATATTTCTCGGTCCCCGCCGAGGAATAAGTCGAAGTACTTCTTGAGATGATCGACAAATTCGCGACGCACAGTTGGGTGGACGAAGACATGGTTTACATTCAGGCAGATCTGGTCGACATTGACGTACTTAGCCCCGTTCTGTAACAGATGCAGAGGAACACAGTAAAATGAGCTAGAAAAGGGATGGAGAGGGCCTTACCTGGCCGGCGTTCATAAATTTGGTTGCTGCAATTCGCTTCGCGGCGAGTTCGATATCCGCTGAAGGACAGACGATGGCCGGGCCTTGTCCTCCCAGCTCCAGCGTGACGGGGGTCAAATGCTTGGCTGCCGCAGCAGCAATAAATTTGGCCACTGTTGCAGACCCCGTATAGAAGATATGGTCGAAACGGTGCTCTAGAATGTAGCCCATCTCCTTGGCTCCCGCTGAGATACATCGGATGGCGTCGGTGTCCAGATATTTCGGGATGATTTCCATCAACAAGTCCTGGCTGGCAGTAGCAACATCTGACGGCTTAACGATAACCGCACAACCCGCCGCGATCGCGTCGAACATAGGACCCAAGAGGAGAGTGAAGGGGAAGTTCCATGCTCCAATGATCAAAGCTACGCCTTTGGGCTCCTTGCGAACCGTTGCACCGCCTAGGAAGTTGAGAGGACTGGTCCGCTCTGGTTTCTCATCTCGTGTCCACTCGTCCAGATGCTCCAGGGTGTTCAAGATATCAGCTTGGCAGCCAGCTACCTCAAACGGTAGTGTTTCCTGAGGATGTTTGTTCAGGTCTTTGTACAGGGCCTCTTGCATGCGCTCCTTGTTGTCCTCAACCATCCACCATGCCTGCTGCAGTTGTCGCTTGCGCCATTTTTTATCCTTTGTTTTGCCGCGCGCAAATGATGCCCGGACGCTGGCAAGTGCCTTCACCAGTGAGTAGGAATTAAATGGGAGGAATTCAGGGGCCACCTACATCGTCGAAGTCGGCAGCCGATGAGAAGGGCATCTTGCTTACTGTTTTTGTCAGAATGAACTCAGATTCTTTGGAGCAACGTGTATATTAATAAAGCAAGCGCTCGGACCGCAGCCCAAGGTCAAGATGTGGGGGACATTTTAAACTACCGAGGCAGCTTACCGAGGAAGGTAGAAGTTTATCAACTGCTCATGAAGGCCGAGTGATTCGTGCGGGGCTGTTGAATCATCGCGCCTCTGACGATCGCTAGTTTTGTTTGAGGCTCTCCGGTGCTGATAAGGTGGTGATGTGCGACAAGTTTGCTTCCATTCGATAGTCTATGCTCATATAGGACAAGGTGGATATCCAATACCGATGTTTATACATTGGCTATATGTTTATGGACGCCAGGAAAGCAAAATGAGAAAAATGATACAGAATAAAGTTTGGAATAGTGGTATATAGAGAGCAACATGTATCCAAGACAAGAGGCTGGTGGTTTTGCACAGAGATACCAGCTCGATGTTAATTCTACCTTTCGCATTTCTAGACGCATGTGAAACAGAGGCGCCTGCTTAGACCCCTACCTAGCCTAGCTTTCATTACTATCAGCATGAACTTCCACGTTCTTGTTGAAAGAAAAGGACATAGCAAATCTTACAAAGACAAACACCTACGGAGTCAATGCTAGACCTATCCGAAGTACTTGCTTATACAGCCGGAAGAGGGAAATTATGAGCATTTATTCGGCTGTGCTGTATCTGTGGGTAGCTAGTTCATTCTAACTTACATTTTGGCGGCGAAAACGCGGGCATAAGTAATGTGCAGGTGAAGCATCTCCGTCATGAAGCGACTGAAGGGGTATATCCATTGTTCTGTAGAATGCGTGAAGACCTAAAACATAACCAGCAAAACGAACATCCAAATAAAAGTGTGATGTACCACGCTAATGAAAGAAGATTGTCCGACCTACGAGCTTCATCCGTGTCTTGAAGAAAGGTTACTATGAAATGTCTTCCAGGGTCTTGGTATGGCTCTATCATATATCTCTTAGTCAAGGGTATCCAGCAGTTTTCTCTTATATCTTTACTGTAATTAGTAGTTTCCAAAGCGTCTAGCAATCCTCAATTTAAATTGTTGTTCAGCCCTATCTTACTCCCTGCTAATGGCGTTTGAAGTCCCTAGGTGAAATAGCCTTGAGGCCTCAAGCCTTTCAAATCGATCTAATGTCTAATCCGTCTATCAGACTAACTACATATAGTATCTAACTGGTGTCGGCACTTTGCCGGCGTCGGGGTTTTCCTAGCGTGGGTTGCAAACCGAGGCTGCGCACGTCTAGTTTCGAGGCTAGGCAAGGATTGAGAGACATAGGTCATGACTTTTTGACACGGGAAGGAGCTAGAATTCTTTAATCCTGGGAACAAAGGACAGATTGAGTAATATGCACGTTGCTGTACGTAATACGATTGTCAAATGGTTTGAGTCCACAACCCGAAGCAGACAACCTGGCGAGAGTAACTCACAACATTAAATAATTCTACCGACGATGGTAGTGATTCACAAGGATAGAATCTACATATGTCGTATGACGTTGCTATTGTATTACCACTTCATCACACCTGAAGATATCGTCTGGGATGAAAGGATATACCATTTGGACTGATGGCCTGATCCTTTGGGCCTCGCACGCTAAAACCAAAGGAAAAAGCGGATAGATAAGATTATCAATCTAATCTCTGCGCACTAGTGGACGCCCATTACTTAATTAGTTGGTCTTATAATAGCCCGATGTAACCCAAACGCGGTTTGAGTTGTATCCGACCACTAAAGATAAGATGCTTGTTATATCAGCTATAATATGTGCTCACTAGTAAACACGGTAGCCTATGAGACCCTATAGCACCCTTGTTAGGCTATTCGATTCCATGATCTCTGCATGCCTCATAACCCTTACGTAAATAATAAGCTCTGTCTATCCTGTTCAATTGGGTTTGGTAGAACTTTCGAATCCCGACAGGCCGCTACAAGTAGTATTAAAACCCCATCCGGCTGGCTTTGATTTTCTCTAGATGCTTCGTTTCAACTCCCATAACCGAGTTCGCCGCACAGTATGCTTGAAAAGGTTCCTCCTGCAACTACTGAGGTCCCCACTCCGACAGGGCCTCAGGAACCGTCGTTGGAACAGCAGAATGGTGTGCGTATCGCAGAAGCCGTGACCAAGTCATGGTCTAAAAGCACTTTGATCCAGGTGTATATCTGGTTAGTACACTATGGGTATACACTCCTGTACAAATGTGCTGACTTCTTGTAGCATGTGGCTCATGTACTTTGTACGAGCGCTCAATGGAAGCCTGACAAGCAATCTAGCCCCATACATCACCAGTGACTTTAGTAATCATTCGCTACTCCCTGTCATTCAAATCGTCGTTAGTATCATGAGTGCGGCATGCACGATGCCAATTGCCAAGCTGCTGAACCTATGGGACCGCACCGTTGCGCTAAGCCTCATGCTCGTCGTTGCTATCATCGGCCTTATCGTCATGGCGTGTTGCCACAATATTACCATCTACTGCGTTGCACAGGTATATGCCTCGCATACCTCTTGTCCCTGTCCCTATGATACTAATCGGCTATAGGCCTTTATTACGGTGGGCCTTACTGGCCTCATATTCTCGCTAGATGTGTTGACTGCAGATACCTCCACGGCCCAGGATCGAGCCCTTGCCTTTGCCTTCACCTCGTCGCCATACATTATCATGGCCTTCGCCGGAGCGCCGCTTTCTGCCTCCTTCAACGGGCTCAACTGGCGCTGGGCCTACGGCACGATAGCAATTCTCCTCCCCGCGGTGACCGTCCCACTGATCATCATTTGGGAGCTTGCCAAACGCAAGGCCCAGCAGACAGAAACACTAACCCCCGTCCATGCCGAACGTTCCTTAATCCAGCACATCCGCTACTATCTCATCGAATTCGACATTATGGGCATCCTCCTCCTGATCGCCGGCTTCTCCCTCTTCCTACTCGCATTCGCGCTGGCCGGCTCGCAGCCCCAGAAATGGCATTCCACGCACATCATCTGCATGATAGTGATCGGCGGCGTGACGATCATCGTCTTCGCCGCATACGAGCGCTTCTTCGCCTCCAAACCCCTAGTCCCCTACAACCTCCTCGTGTCCCGCACGGTGACGTTCACCTGCCTCCTGAACCTAACCTACGTCATCGCCGCCGACTGCTGGGCCAGCTACTTCACCTCCTTCCTGCAGGTGGTCTACCACGTCTCGCTCACAGAAGCAGGCTACGTCGTCGCGATCTCGAACCTGATCTCGCCGCTGTGGCTCGTGGGCGTCGGCTTCCTAGTCCGCTGGACGGGGCGCTTCAAATGGCTCCTCCTCTGCGCAATCCCAGTGTACCTGCTTGCCATCGGGCTGATGATCTACTTCCGCTCCCCGGGCCACAGCATCGGCTACATCTGTCTGTGCGAGGTGCTCATCGGCCTGGCACGGGCACGATCATCGCGCTGGAGCAGACGGCCGTCACCACCGCAACCGAGCACAACGACTACGCCTCCATGCTGGCCCTGCTCGGCTGGGTGGGTAGCATCGGCGGCGCAATCGGGAACAGTATCTCCGGGGCGATCTGGACAAACACCCTGCCCCAGAAGCTGAGGGAGTATTTGCCCGACGATACCAAGGCGCAGTGGAAGGAGATTAATGATTCTCTGTATGTGCAGCTCAGCTATGAGGTCGGGTCGCCGACGCGTGTCGCGATCGAGCGCGCGTATGCCGTTAGTCAGCGCAATATGCTGATTGCAGGGATTGCATTCATGGCGTTGACCGTTGTGTGGGTGTTGGGTATTAAGGATGTGAGGGTTAAGGGGAGGGATAATAAGGGGAGGGTGCTTTTTTAGGGGGTGGGGATTTGTCTGTAGGGCTGGTTTTGGAAGGTTTTGGTTCTTGTAGGACGTGTCTAGAAGTCATAGACTTGAAGCGGTGACCCAAGCTCTTGTCTGATTTAATACTACTTGTGTGTTACTTGCTCTACGGACATTCTGGGGTTGGAAAAAAGAAACACATTGTATGAATCCATCACTACCAGAGGTTCTCAATCTACCACATCCACGTGCAGTCAGGTATATATATAACAATAGCCATACCTCATCGGGTCCATCATCGTCTCCACCTTCCGGGGACGACCCAGCTGCCCAAACTCCACCAGAGTATCAAGCGTCACGAACGGGGCATCCGGCGGATCGTAAATAACGGTGGTACCGTTTAAAGCATTCCGGCGATTCACAGGGTCCTGATCCTGCCATTGAGCCCACAACCTGTCAATGAAGGCATGGTGCAACATGAACGAGGGATCCTGCGGCGACGCGAAGAAATCAGCCATGGATCCTCCAACAGAGCGGTGGCCGCCGCCATGCGAGCCCGCCTGGTCAGATTCACTGGGGGACATGACTGCGAGCCAATCTCGAATGGTGGTTGATGCTTGCATTCGGTCAACGCGAGCCTGGTTGTTCAGCATCCCCAGAACGGCGGGGCTCAAGCTGCGCGACAGACAGCGCGGATTGTAGTCATACGCGTTGTCGGGAAGGGGCGCGTAGGATCGAGCGAGAGTGGGACTGAATGGGCCCATGTGGACGACGAGGTCTTTGAACGGGCCCGACTCCACACATCCACCGCCGGTTCCTCGCGGGAGGCATGTCCCGGAGGGAGAACAGGGCATCGGCTCGTTTGGATCGAACGCTCCGTTCCCTGAGAGTGAAGTGTCGCTGCCGTCGAACACTGGGCTTTCGAGTAGGTTGTCTGTGTCGAGTGGCCAGTTCCAGTATCTGTAGCATTTGGTCAGCGGGAATTACTACTCTTTGTGATGATTTTACTCACGGTACGCTGCCTTTGTATCCACATTCCTCGCGCAGGGTCGTTTCCCAGAGGAAGAGGAACTGGCGGTGCCATGGAAGGAGAAGACCGTTAAAATGGATGTTGTTGGTGTAGTTAATGTGAGTCCTTGATATGTGAGCCGGAGCAACCAATAATTCAATGATACATATTGACTTACGCAACAAAATCGTCCCATCGGTTACGGACCCCCGGGAATTCCTCAATGGGTAGGATGGAAGGGCGATGGCGTAGGCACCAAAGCGCATCGATATAGTCCTTTCGCTCAGCACACCCCAGCTCTCTCCTGGTTATGTCAACATACAAGCATACAAGCATTGAAGTGGGATCAGGGGAAGAACCTACCACTCTTTCCTTACCAAGGCTTTCTCTGGACTACATGCTGCCGGCGCAGCGAGAGCAAGGCCGCCGATCGCGAAAATACTAAGTAGGAGTGTTTTCATGCTGCGAGGCACAGTCTATGAGCAGATCGTAATGTTGCCTATTAGATGCCGTGAGGAAATGTGTTTTTGATAATTGTACAGATTGAAGTGTTTTAACGAGCTAGGGAAGACAACGTGCAAGTCTGGGTCATTCTAGATATATATAGCTTTCTGCAGGCTGTGGTTGAGTTCAAAACATATTGAAAAACCCATACCCGAGCCCCGTCGTCATGGGAGATACCTGCACCGACCCGGAGGCAGAATCTCGTATAGGCTTTCATTCAGCTGACAGACGGTTCGTATCTCGACCCTACGTATAGAGACAGAGATTAAGGGTACTATGGATAAGGATTGGTGGGGCTGTCTCTGGGACTCACGCGATAATGCCTAAGCTCATGTTGGGTATTACCACCACGAAATAGGAGAAAACTGTGTTTCGCTGGCCCAATGTCTTGCACCGTGTAGATTGGTCACGAGAAGAGAGCTGTGTCCCTAGGCATTAACATTGGATACCAGTGTACTATTCTTATCCGTGAGAAAGAAGGCTCAAGAGGCGGTTTCATAGCATTCCCGGTCTCTACTGGGAGGTCCAGCTTTGGCACCGTGATTTTATTGGCGCTGACATCCAGCCCAGTTTTAAATAAATCCTCCAACAAGATAGCAACTAGCCCTAGATGGAAGTCGCTCGTGGCTAAGCACACAGGCAAAGTAACCAACCATGGCACTTATAGTCCCCGTCTCGTCCGAACCCTCGCAAGCTAGGGCTGGGCCTGTTTCGGGAGCCTGCTGGTTAAAACGAAGAAAGATGTGTCTCATTGGACAGTGGTAGCCTATCTACCAACAAATCCCGGGAAGTCATTCTTGGAAGATCTGAGCGCTGGTGGAGATATCATGTGGAGGCTGAGGTGAGGTTGCACGCAATGCAGGGCGTATTCCATACGGAGCTGAACGCCAGTTCGCGAGACCCTGAGGCACTCATTCTGTATTACATCAGGTGATATTGGGGGGGATTAGGGCAACGCTTCCGGAGAATTTATGTATAGCGGGTATTATGCAGCCCGCCGTACTTAGCTTGACGTATAGTGCCCTCATTAACTTGAGAAATATCGATTTCGCATTGATTCATGGACCAGTATGCATCGTATTCCAAATAGTAGAACCTCCTGCTGCCGCACAGATATTCCTCATGGTATTTTCAATCGTAATGCAAGGGACGAATCCAAATTGTAGATAGGATGCGGACCAAAGTCAGACACTTAGGCAGGGCACAGCATTGAATCCACCACCGGCATAGACCATGATCTTGGACACGCGTTCAACCCTGCGCCAGGAAGGAACAGGGTTTCAGCTGATCGCTGTTCAAGAGAGATACTCAGGCTATCCCGGCCTGCTGTGTAACACTGTGAGGGACCATGGTCAGACCTTGTGTCCAGGTGTCCTGCGCCCCTTGATACACCTATATAGCTCATTGGTGCTTCCACCAGGCTGAGGTCCGGCAATTGTCTGAGTAATGCTAGTGGTAGTCCGTAGCTCTAGCGAAGAATAATGCACCTCCCGCATGTTTCCCATTTGCCAACGCATCGACAAGTAAGACACCCGGGATGAAATCTTCCGTGTTCAATCCCGTGTTGAGTAGTTGCTATTCGTATTCTAATTGTGCTGCTGTGAGAGGCTTGTGGGTCAGTCCAGTCACTGATACTTCCCCATATAGAATGTACATCTTGCTTTTTGTTTAGGAAATCTTAAGCGACCATCCTTGCCGCACCATAAGAATACTTTTGTCTGATTCATATCATTCCACACTTTCATTGTACTTCCTTATTTCTTAATGAAGTTACGAGTGGTCTATTTGACCGTCTCTGATTTGCTGCGTCTTCTTGCTGGTGGCTTGCTGCATCTTTGCCTCTAACCGGTTGCTGCTGCATGTGGTTGAGACTCTACCATTCCTTTGGCGAAAGCGCAGTTGATTAGCATTGTCAGGTAACGACGTCATGTTGCAGGGCCTTTACACTTTGTGTTTATCCAATCGCTGACCAAAAGTTACGTTGCGCGGTGAGAAGAAAGAAACTAAAATCTGATATTTGGAGCGGAGAGAAACAAAGACGTAGGTTACAAGAGATTCAGCCAAACAAGGATTCCATAACAACCTATTCCAAATCATACTTATTATCCGCCGCCCACTTGATGAAAGATTGCGATGACCACAAAACACTGTGAACATGTGGTGTATCTTATTCATTCCATTAATATAGCGATCCAACCCCTATTTATATAGGAGATCATCGGGGTTTGATACCCATGTTCGACACCATGACTGGCTCCAGCATATACGTGGGATACGATAGCCGGAGGAAAGATTTGAGCAAGTTTTCGAGAGTTCTTGTACTACTACTTGTGTCCACTATGGGTAGTAAAACTACCAAGCATCATATAGTATATATGCGAGGAGTCGTTCCCACGAAGCCCGGTCCCCGAGGGGGTTAATATACGACGCAATGGCGATCTGCTGACCGGTATCCTCTCCCGAATCTGAATCCGTATCCCTATTCGACCAGCCTAGGGTCTCTATCCACGTTGATACTTGGCTGATATAGTCATCTGGGTACTCGAAATCTGGAGTAGATCCGTCAATGTTTAAGAGAGAGCTGTTTTCGCTCTGGTTTAGATTATTACTGCAACCTGGATAGTGTTCACCAACGGAAGAATTTCAAGCCGTAAGATCGTCGGTAATATTCAAATAAAGCTCGCTGCCGTCTACAACTAATGTGGCGAGTAAACCCAGGTCTGGCCTCGGAAATGCGGCCCGGGCGAGTTCTTGTGCCAGCCACAGTGGGTAGGCCAGGAACATCACGTACTTAGCCAATGCGTAATATGCCAGATTGCCGGAGTTTCGCTGAACCCAGTATCTGACAGAGCCTCGGTTCCCTCCATGTTGCCAGCGAGCTAAGACTATAGTGATAAACGGGCCAGATGCGTCAGTCCGAATCTTTTTAGAAACCAAGTTGATGTTAACCACGAGATCGACGACACAAGGATTAGGCTTTGGAAAGTCAGGGGCCAGATCTAAATAGAATAGCTCATACCGATCGCTTCTGGTTAGTACACCAGATTTGTAGAGTCGAGACTTTTGGTCCAGCTTACCAAAAGTGTTTGTGCTCTGTTATCATAGGATGAAAGTCTTAGGTTGTGTGCGCTATCTAGAGCCTGCCGTATGAGATTGCATCTGCCAGACTTCTGCGATCAAAGAAGCCCTGGCAGAAATTGATCGTCCGAGTGCAGGAACTATCTGGGTCAGAATTCGTTGAATATGCAAATGGGAATGGCTTTGGCGTTCGTTCGGGTTGACACAGGTCTTGATCAGGCCGATTTTGGCATAGCTTCCCTGGATCGTCGCATCGAACTTTGATATAATGCTGGAAGGAATTTATATAGCTATAAATAACTTTGCCATATTTGCCAAGACCGCCTAGATTTCAGGTTATTTAGCCCTGTGGCACCTAGAAACTCCAGTGCAGCTACGTGGTTCCAATCGATATTTGACACCACTCATGCAGTACTGGAGAGGACGATAACAAAGTCAGTCTACAGTTGGTATGTAGGCAGCAGTTTCTGGCGTACAGGGATGATAACCGCAGTGTCACGTAACTCTGACCATACCATACACAAACTAATTGAAACTTTAGATCAAAAGCCTTGGGAATACCTCCAGGCTAGTGCCCAAAGGGCTAGCGGTATACGGCCATACAAGGAACTAAGACTGTACTTGTAATGTTGTAGGCAGCTTCTCCCAATTTCCCTACATATTAAAACGCCTGAGAACGCGTTCATGAGCTCAAGTTCCGAGGTCGTGTGACCTGATACTAGACATCGTTCTTTCCCTGTTTATAGACTTATCATTGAAATATGGGATTTAGCAGCATGCTCGTCGCCATTTTATTAGGTCTCTGCCGACAAACCATAGGCCGCGTACTTCCCATCAACATTGACCGTCTCCTTATTTTTCAGCGACGAACAGCAATGGATGACCCTCAGGACCTGGACGACCCACAGGACCTAGACGACTCATCGGACCTAGATGATCCATCAGACCAGGAATTCTTCCCATATATCACACGCCCTTCTCTGTCGGCGACTGACCGGACTGTCTTCGACACTCAAGGATGCACAGTCTTTGGCTACCCCTCACTGGCGGGGTTCTTATCAAAGAAGCCGATCTTCTCGATATACATTTTCTATCGCTCCCGCTCTCTCATGCATTGCAGCGCTCATCTAGTACCGACGAAGAAGACAGGTTCTGTAATCTTCTGCGACGGACCGGTGCGACGTTCTGGCCAGATAAACAAGATTGGCTCCAAGTACAGGCGGGCTTTAGGAAGGGAAAAAAGGAACAAAAGAAGATAATGGTATACGGTTGGCCCACAGATGGAGTAGGTGTGTGGGTGTTGAGATTCAAAAGTATCAAGCAACTGCCAGACGATTTTGGGAGGATCAGTTTTGCAATGAATATGGAGCAGAAGATACAGATTATGAGAGAGTATGGCGCTGTTTTTGTTGAAGATGCCACGCAGGTGGAGGAGCTAAACACGATTTGAGGTCTACATGGTCAGCATGGAAAGGAGCCTTATTTGTTCTAGCGGACATTGCCAGTGAGGGAGCTGCGTCAGCTCATGAATGCTGTTCAAGTACTATTCCCTGGAGACTCTCCTTCAGCAGCGCTTAGGGCAATACTTCTTGAAACCCATTGAAACTGCAGAGCAACAAGGCTACTGTCATCGCGGACATAAATAATGCTGGAAAGGGCATTTTGTATCATGATAGGCAACATTGATTGTGAGTGTACATCCACCTAGGAAGTCTTTCTCGCAGATAGACACAATAAAAGAGACAAAACCAGCCTGCACCCTTAGGAAGGATTGGCGAAAAGATGATTTGGTTACATTGAGTCCGGTGTATTTCCTTATTTTCTGCCACAATTTCAAGGCCTCGGTTAGAATCTCGAATATGGAACGTGACATATCGGAGATATTCTTATACATCAACAGCACAGCCCGTACCTGAGCCACGTAGCAAATGAACTGGCCTATAAATTTAGAAGGTCCGGGAGAGATCGGCAACCCCCACAGAGGATCGGCACATCATCACCTGTAATGGATTTCAGGCGTCCTGGAGATATCATCCGCCATCGAATAATGTTCGACGGCCCTATCAAGAAGGAGAAATGCTACAAAAACACATCCTCCGCAATATATTATCCAGCCTGCCAAGAAAGATTTGGCCCCGAATGTCTCTCCAGAATTAACCTTGCGATGGAGAAAAACCCCGGAATCGATACTACAGAATGTCAACCGATATCAACTTTGACCTCGTACCAGCTATACTGCGCCACATTTTGTCTTCTTGGCATATTTGTAGAAAGATAAGATGGCATCAATAGCAGAATCGAAGATATATAAGAGGCATCGACCTCGCTGGGTTCAAGATTCTATCTCCGAAAAAGCACTGAATTCAATCAACCCACCAATCTTTCCTACATTCTCAAAATGCAGTGGACCACCATCCTGATCGCACTTAGTGCCCTCTCTACCCAGGTAGGAGCCATCCACAATCATCTAAACTATCTTCATTCAGCTCACAGAGTTCCTTTCTCAGGTATACGGAGCTGCTACGGGTAGCCCCTTCGAGAAGCTTCCCATAACCGCCCCGACTTGGGAGGTGGAAGTTACTCCAGGCGGCGACAAGGCCACCCTCAGTGGCACCGCGCAAGAAGTGCACGCACAGCTCCTCCAGCTGAATCCCAACTACGACAGCGACTTCCCCGTCAAGCACAGCGAAGAAGAGTCATCCAGTGTGACGAAGCGAGACTTTAAATATGAGAAATACTACTGCTGGGGAGAAGACGGCTGGCATTATTCCCGCAAGCGTGGCGATAATGGCGACCTACAGGATGGGATCGATTACCTCAACAGCATAGGAGGCACACCGGGACAGTCCGCTGGCACCTGTGGTCGCGTCAGTTGCTCATACAATATGGCCATCTATTGGTGCAACGCCGTTAGTTATTTCTCTCTTCTTGCCTACTCGACTGGAGGGCTGCATCGAGCGTTACTAATGACTTTCTCATCTAGAATTCAGAGAAACACTACCTCAAGTCCTTTGGAACTATCGCTGATGGCGCCCAGTTCCTTTTGGACAAGTGCGGTGGAGATAACAAGCCCCATGGGGAAGTGGTCGCCCCTAATCACTGGAGCGTCCGGGTTGTGTCGGATGCCTGTTAAATGAATATAATACTTGACTAAGGAGTACCAGATTTGCCACAGAGAGCTACCACGGATGTATGATAGCATAGTGCAGAGTTGGGGGAGGTAATTGTGTATAGTCAATCAATCAATATTATTATTTCTTCTAATCCCCATTGTTGCCACGTTCCATGTTGTGGAACATGAGATGTGGTTTTCAACAACGGAAATAAAGTTAAAGTGTGTGGGAGTAGTGTAATGAGTTTTGTACAGTAATGATGCAGCTTCCTGATGGTAGAATTAGGATGGCGGAGAATCCACCTGTGAGAAACATTGAGACATCGCAGATCAGTGCTCAGAAGATCAGATGTAACAAACAAGTATCTATGCTTTACGGACAATAGTTCATCACATAATGTCTGTAGATGTTCCACATTAGATGTTCTGTGAATTTATTTCTATATTGAAAGTTTTGATGCAGCTGCGCAGTACGGCTAGACTTGTTTGTCGCACATTTGCCCTAGGATGTCATATCCTCCTTTTCTATCAGATCATGTCTCATAACCTACTGACCCACTGTGGCACGTTTGACTGTCTCATAGAGCAATGGGCGGATGGACGGAAGTCGTGGCAGTGTGGGATCGATGACAGGGTCGTGGATGAATGAATGAATATAAAAGGATTTTAGCATGTCACAGACAAAGCATGGATATCTTTTAATTTCCCCCAAAACAGCAGATTGATATTTTGCTAGGGTTGGTTCTTTATAACAGCACAGAGCAACAGTGAATCATTATGTGGTCTTTAAACTTCTTTGTTTCCTTTATTCACTCTGCTGTGTCTACATATCCATTAAACAGGGTATAAGCTCAACTATCTCTGAATCATCTTGTCAATACACCTGACAAGGATGATGAAACGACGCGGTAGTATCCTATGTCATTGTGAATAGGGCATAGCCATGTGAACGTCCGTTCACACTGTATATAGAAGGCAACGTTTGCTCTTGCGTTCCTTTCTACTCCACCCATCTTGTGTGAACCTGCCGCAAAGATCTTTTTTTTCCTTTCTAGGGCCATCAAAATCTAGACGCTGAGCAGAGGTATGTCCATTCTATATATGTCTAATCTATCCCAGTGGGAGTTATGCTCCTCCATTCTGAACTTCCCATCTTATACGACACTTCGCATTGCAATCGGCGGATACTGTGTTGACAAAATGACAGAAGTGATCTATATCGCGCCTCTGGCCGTAAGTGAGCAACACCGAGGACATCCAGGAACCCGGAACTGCGCAAGATTCGGTTCGTATTCACACTCAGTCATCTCCTCATCAAATTACCGAAGTGCCTAGCGCCATGTCAGGAGCTTTCCAAGACAGCACCACCGCGAGATACTTCAGGGCTGGCGGGCCAAACCTCTGCGAGGCACCCTATAACTACCGCAGCCTCCCAAGCGAGCATATCCCTCATGGCGATGTTAAGCGTATCCTCTATAATCGCAACATACGGTTCTTGACGACATCGTTTGTGGAATGCACACCAAGCTACGACGACATAGCAGAGCCAACTCAAGCATTACAAGTTCTAGCTCACCGGCCAGAGAACGACACTCGAGAGAACTGGCAGCATGCAGCACGAGAAATACAGGCTCTTCTTCGCAACCATGATCTCGACAATATCACGGTGGATATTATTGATTGGTGTTTCGCGCAGGGCCCCCCAATCTACCCATGCAAGTCGAGCGATGCAATCTTTCCAAAGTGGGACGCGGTTCGCAATCGAATTTTGCAAGTGGTGGTTGATGTGTCTGGGTTTCAGCTTCTCGGGTGTTATCGGATCGGATATGATTGTGATGCTGAGAACAGCACCCCTTCTGTCCTAGTCACGGTCGACCCGAAACACAAGCGAGACTGGAGCATTGTTGAGAAGGATATCAGGGATATCCTGAATGGGTTTGACCTTCATATGGTCGATGTGCGCATCTTCAAGGATCGTGATATTTTCTGTGCCAGCCGATCATCGGCCGGAAGGCAAAGTATCTGCCCTATACCTCCTCCTGTTGAAGACGAATGCCCCATGGCGGTGACCATTGGAAGTGATTTGGGTGCTCACAATAGCGAGCGTTATGGTACCTTCGGTGGGTGGCTCGATCTACAACAGAAGTCTGGCTCTGAATGGCAGCAATTTGGTGTGACCTGCCGCCATTGCGTGCTTGGTCACGCCTTCAAAGGCCTTCGTATCTTCGAGAAGAAGGATGAAGCGCTAAACCATATGGAAGTGATGGCAGAGGATCCCAACAATTCGACTCCTCATGCTACTGAGTCCCCCTCACCAGGAAAGGTGGACTGTCCAAGCCTCAGTACAGTGCAATATTTCATTGACTACTATACAGACAGGATCGATCAGACGAGAAACACGGAGGCGTTCCGCGCTCTGGAGGAGATGGAAGCGGAAGCGAACCTCCACGGGGATCTAGCAAAAAATGGGAATGCCTGAGGGAGAGACTTAGCCGCCTAGAAAACCATCTTGCAGAGCTAGAGGCCTACAAACGAGCAAACAGCTATGAGTTTGGCGAGGTCTGGGCTGACTCTGGTGATGATACTCGAAGCACGACGACAATTATGGACTGGGCACTCTTGAAACCCCATCCAAGTCGCGCATTTCCGTTCAATGAGGTATAGTTGGTTATGATATGCTCTTCTCACCTGTGTAGTGCTAAAGTAAACCCTAGTTTCGGTCATTCAAAGCTCTCGGAAGGTATCAACCTATAGGAAGTACCGGATATATCCAAGCCGGTATTGAGCTGTCCAACGAGCAGCAGCTTGCAAAATATGGTTTCCAAACAGGGGTGACCCGGGGAAAGTATAACGAACTTGCAACTACAGTTTTCACGGTTTCAAAAACCGGTGAAATACGGACGACAGAGGAACATTCAATTCTTTATCAGCCAAACATCACCTCGTTTGAACCCGGTGACTCCGGCTCACTTGTGTACGACACGAGTGGCTGCATAGCAGGACTGGCCTTTGGTGCCCAAATGTCGGGCCGGATTGTCGTTTTTACCCACATTGACAGCTTGATTGCTGACATCAAGGGCCAGACTGGAGCTGAACAAGTCATCTTTTATGGACAGAAACAGCCAACAGAGGCATACGACGAAGATCTAAGCTAAGGTCTTTGGGGCACCATCAAGAATGAGTTTGGGTCTTTGCTTTTCTTTTCTCCTTTTACTTGCCCCTTTTGCTGTTGGGCAGGCTCTGTCCGTCTCATTCGATAGTAACGGCAATCGTGAGTTTGCTATGGTTCATCTTTACGTGTCTTTTAGTATGGTGCCTCCCATACCGTATTTCCCTTTCGACTATTGTACCTCTAGGGTTAATTCCATCATAGAATAGGGTATCACACAGCGGTTTCAATGTGATGGCTTTTTGACACAAATAGATCCCTCTACATGGATCGCACCAATCACGGGGATACCCTAGCTTACTCAAATATGGAATGCCTTCAGTTGACCCATGGAATTGTATTCATTCACCGTCTATATCTATCGATCTACTTGCTGGCGGTAGTCAACTTGTCCCCCACCAGGCTTGCCAGACCCAATATATTCGTCCTCTTATCCATCAGATCTAGGAATGGCACATCTACCCCCATCGCACCATAGATGTACTGACGGAGCTCCGCCGCCAGCATACTATCCATACCAAAATCCAACAAAGGCTTCTTTGCATCGATCTTATCCACTGGCGTGAGGATGATGTTAGAAAGCTTCTTCACCAGAACTACCTTCACCGCATCCGTGAGTTGCGCTTTATCATTCGAAGCGATTGCCTCCTGGATAACCGACGCCTGCGTACTGTTGCCCTGAGCAGACTTCCCCGCATCACGCCTCAGCGCGCACGTCAACACATCGAACCGTGCATCGTTGAGGAACTGCCAGTACCCCTCATAGCCCTGTTTCCGGTGGCCCTGCAGACCCGTATCCTCCAGCCCAGTCAGAATATGCGACTGGGGCATGAGATCATTAGGATGAAGTGAGGTAGGAGGCTGAGTGAGACCAAAGTCGAAGATCTGGACCAGCTCATCTTCCGTGAGAGGACGGATACCTTTACGGAGAAGCAGGGCCTCGATTTCCGGGTGCTCGTGCAGGTATCCCACCTCGGAGACCATTCCGAGGCCAAGGGAGACAGCCTTCAAACCCAGTCCGCGACGGTAGCGCGCGAATGTGTCCAGGAAGTTGTTGGCGGCGCAGTAGTTGCTTTCGGTGGCTGTGCCCAGTTTCCCGGAGATGGAGCTCGTCAGGACGAAGAAGTCGAGTTCTCTTTCCCTGTCTAGCGCGGAGAGGGCGTTGTGCAGGTTCCATGTGCCTTGGACTTTGGCTTCGGTGCCATTGAGCCAGTAGTCGCGCGGCATGTGTTTGAAGATTGCCTCGTTGAGACCCATCGCTGCTTGGATGACCCCTCCGAGGGGGGCTGGTGTGGCTGCCACGGCGCGGTGGACGTCTGAGTAATTTGTAATGTCGCCTTTGATGACGGTGCATTGTGCGCCTCCTGCCTCCAGTTCGTCGATGAGGCGCTTGGCGGCTGGTCGTTGTAGACCTGAGCGGCCAAGGAAGACGAATTTGCGTGCCCCGCGGCTCATCATCCATTTGGATACACTGCGGCCGAGACCACCGAGACAACCAACCAGTAGATAGCTCTTTTGGGGATCTAGCTGTGTCGAGAATTTCTCACGTACGACAGGTACCATCTGCGTTTGGTCCTCGAAGGATATAACGATTTTGCCCATGCGCTTCGCGTTGTTGAAATGGTTAAAGGCCGGTACGAGCTCTGAAACGTTGAATACGGAGAGCGGCTCAATAGGACGAATATCGCCGCTTCGCAGGAGCGAGATGACACGAGTTATTAAACTTTTATAAACGTGATGCTGTGCTGGAGATGCCGACTCGGCCAACATGCTTATATCGAACGCCGTGAAAGTCGTGCCTCGGGAGAATCTTTCCATATTCAGACGGCCCTGGTCAAGAAGATCCCGTTTTCCAATTTCGACAAAGCGGCCGAAGTCTGCCAGGCAGTCCCAGCTCTCGTGTAGGAGCTCACCGAGTAGCGAGTTCAGGATAACGTCGACTCCGCGTCCATTTGTGATGGTCTTGATGTTCGAAGCGAAGCCTGAGTCGCGAGAATTGAAGATATGGTCCGACTTGATGCCAAAGTGGTCAATTAAGTACTGCTTCTTCTCGTCCGTTCCAACAGTTGCGAAGATCTCTGCGCCTATTAGTTTAGCTAGTTGTATTGTGGCGATACCGACGCCACCTGCAGCGGAGTGGATTAGGATTGACTCTCCTGGTTGGATATTGGCTCGGTGATAAAGGGCATACACGGCTGTCGAGAAGACCATCAGTACAGATGCCATGGTGTGCAGGTCCTCCCCATCGTGGAGCTTAACACAGCTCCAGGCTGGAACAGTCTCGTACGTGCTGAAGTAACCAGGATACATGACAGCGACCTTATCACCGATACTAAGGTCGCGGACGTCGGAGCCGATGGCAAGAATATGACCTGTGCATTCCAAGCTGCACCGTGCATCTGTTGTCTGGACATGCCCTGCCAGTGCGTTAACATCTTTCGCATTGAGGCCGACACAGGAGACTTTGACAACCACCTCATTGGCGGCCAGCTTCGAAAGGGCTGGATAAGGTCGTTTCACGAACTGCACCGTGCTCAGTTGTCCAGGCCTCTGCACAGACAAGGCAGCATTACCAACACTCCCAAGTGGCATAGGTGATGCGAGCCCGTCTTGCCGTGCACGAAACTCTCTGTTCATGCGCTCGTCGGGAACTATACGACTGATCAGGAGATGGGACCCATTGTCAATATACTCGCAATCGTTGATCGAGTTGTTCCCACTTCGAACTATTCTCGCGACATCCCGTGAGATTACAGCAGCGTCAGTTGTTGGATCTAGTTCTAGCGAAAAGATTTTGGTTGAGGGCTGCTCAATCACTACAGCACGAGCAAATCCCGCGAACAGGGAAAGAGTGGGATTGAATTCTTCGTGTACTCCGGATCCTGTAATCCAAACGATCCATGCTGCGTGTTCAATCATTCGTTTGAAGCCATCGAATTCCTCCTGTTGGACGCCGCCAGCAAGAATAGACCTTTCCAGCTCAGCTGTAGAGATGACTAGTGAGTTTGGAGAGATTGGTATGTGTACTAGGTCTGCTAAAGCGACTTGCTTGATCGGCATGCCTAGACCATCGCTCAAATGGCTAGCTAAGTGTTCATCGGCAGGATGCATTGGCGACCGGCAGATATGTAGAACGTGATCGAAATTTGGACCAGAACGACCGTTCACAGCCGGTGCTCCGCGGAGGAGCTGCACATTGTGGGCTGTTTCCGATTGAGATCGTAGGACCGAAAGCCTATCGAAGTTTAAGGTGCTGCCGATATCAGGTGAAAGGAAGACCGTTTGATCATCTGTGTAGGAGCCTAGCTCATCCACCATGGCGGTATCGTCTCCTAAAATTACCAGACCGAAGTGGTCACCTGGTGATGCAATCCGATACTGCAGTGATCGAAGCCCTAATGGAACGATGTACTTGTGGACCTCAGCAACCTCGAGTTGACCGTCTGAGGTCGGGCGCCCCATGGAAAAAGAATTGAAGCGCCTGTAGATACTGGATGCATCAAGCACTTCCAAGAACGCCAGCGTGATGAGAGATAAGTCGGTCGAGAGGCATAGGATATGAGCATCTGGGTTCTTATGCACGATTAAGTCAAGGGCTGCTAGCATGTTGGCCTTGGACCCGAACGACCCCAAATCAGATCTTAAAAGAACGTGATGGAGTGCTGATGAAAAAGTGGCATTGTCGTGTACTTGACTAATGTCGGGCTTCCAGGTGACTCGTGTTATGGGGTGCCGCACCTCCATCTTTTCGTTTCCTATGTATGCGGTGACGTCTACATCTTTAAAATGCGCCACAAGTTGCTGCTGACCATCGAACAAGGCGCTATCAATCTTATTGGTGGCTTGGCCTGTGACCTTGGACATAGAGCGAATTGTACCTTCGTCAGTGGGACTAGAGGGCAGGCTGATCCTTACAATTCCGAGCTTTGTGGGTACTTTACCAACCATCGAGTGGATTAGGCCACCTGTGCATGCAATAAGGGCGACCTGGAAGAGGTTGTCCAGCAATACAGGATGTATGAGGTATCGGGGGTGGGACTGTGCTCCCCCAACAGCGGGGGCAAGCGTCCGTGTTCGTGCTTCTGCATACAATATACCCTTGGGGTCAGGTGTCTGGATGCCATGCATGTGTTGGAAGGTTGGTCCAAATGCAAGACCAGCATTGGCGATACTCTCATACCACACTTCGTAGACTGGGGGGCCAGGTGACAGTCTCTGGATGGAAGCTGTGTACTGCTGGTCGCTATGGACTCTAGCCTTATGGAGCCCTTGGCCCGCACTGTGGGGCCGTCCTCAGAGATGGACGAGATCTGGAATTCCCACCAGACCTTCGACTCTCTAATATTTGAGATTGGGAGCGGACGGAGCTCCGTATAGAGCTCGATCGACCCCTGCTCCGGTAATGGTAGAGCCTTCAGTAAGTCGACATGCCGGAGCACTACGGACTCGCCCGCACCGTCCGCACCAACAGGTAAAACCTTTTGCATCAGCGCCTCCACAGCCATGGATATATATCCGGTGGCCGGAAAGACGACAGTATCACCCAGCCTATGGTCACGTAGCCATGGGACATTTTCAAGCTGCAAGAGGTTCCGCCATCCAAACGTGGTCTCGTTTCCGCCTGGTACCTCTCTACCCAAGAGCTCGTGTCTGGGGTGTGTGGTGTTGCGCCATTCACGGCTAACCCGAGATTCATTCCATGGTGCTTGTTCATAATGCCATGGATATGTCGGTAAGTCATAGATGTACCTAGGTATGCTATGGCCGTAGGTATGATCGAGCTTTGAGAAGTCCACTCTGAAACCCTGCACGAAAAGCTGACCAATAAAACCGAGCAAGGAGACTGAAGAATCTTGACCTCGGCTAAGGGTGGCAAGGTAGGATGTAGACTTTCCAAGGGTCTGCATGATGGGCATCTTCAGGGCCGCATGTGGTCCAAGCTCAGCGAACGTACAGCGGCCCATCATCTCGGACAGGGACGCAAGGCCTTCGCTGAAACGGACTGGCGATTCCAGATTCGCACGCCAGTACGCTGCCGTACGGACAGTCTTCCCTTGGACCTCTTGGCACATGACAGTGGAGTACATGTGGATGTCATGCAGCTTCAATTCAGGGATATCCTGCGCCCCAAAGGTCAATGCCCCCTTGAGCAGCTCCTCGTACAGGGCACCAATGGAAGCCATATGGTGGGAGTGATAAGCCTTGCCATCAGTCTTCAGCCTACGAGCAAACACACCTTCATCCTGTAGTAATGCTAATATGCTATCAATGGATTCGCTATCCCCACTTATTGTCACACTTTGCGGCGAGTTTATGCATGCGACCTTGACATTTGCATTGAAGCCAAGCCTAGTGATCCACTCAAGTGCATCATCGGAGTGCAAGCCCACGGCAGCCATTGCGCCTTCAGGTGCTGATGCTGTCACAGAGTATCCTCTGTAATAAGCGATGACGATAGCCTCGCGAGCTGTCAGCAGGCCGGCTGTATATGCAGCCGCAATCTCACCCGACGAGTGTCCAATGACGCCCTGTGGAAGGATAGACCAAGACCGCAAGACATTGACCAGACCGATCTGGACAGCAGTTGTGATAGGCTGCGCGAAGGCTGCCAGGTTCAAGGGACAAGCCTCTGAGTTATCCATTAGAATATCGCAAATCTTCCATCTAGGGGCATGGGGCAGGATGCTCAGTTCGTGATCGAGCTGCTGAATGGTATTTGCGAAGACCGGGAAATGCAAGAGCTCGCGGGCCATTCCCTTCCACTGAGCCCCCTGTCCAGTGAAAACAAATGCGAACTTGCTATCTGCCATGTTATTATCTGAGCTGTCTAGTGTCAGGTTGTCGACGTGGATATCTTGTGCAAGGGTTGCCTGTCGGGCAATGACAAAGCCACGGAGACCAAGATGCGATCGCCGTTGCCCTAGAGTGTAGGCAAGATCAGCAACCGAGACGGCTGAGAGATTCAATTCAGACAGTCTCTCGACTCTCCCTTGCAGAGATGCTAGCTTGTTTGCAGACAATGGGAGTAAGTATGGCATCGAAGGGGGCACACTATGCCCGTTGACTCCATTAATTCCATTACTGGCGTGACCATTAGGCTGGCCATCCATTGAGCCTGTTACATCACCACTCCTCTTCATGGCCTGTCTGCAAGACACGTTGTTGGTCTGACGACCAGCCTCTTCCAGAATTCCGTGAGCGTTGGCGCCGCCGAAGCCGAAGGAATTAATGCTGATGCGACGTGAGCCGCTTTCCGATGGAAAGTCCGTCATACGAGTGACAACTTCTACCCCCCATTCCTCTGTTTTGATTTTGGGATTCATCTGCTTTACGCTGATGGTAGCGGGAATCTGACACCGCTCCAAAGATAGACTGGCTTTCATGATGCTGAGCAAACCACTCGAGGCTTCTCCGTGTCCCAGGTTCGGCTTCACACCGCCGATTAGCATCGGGCGGTGGCGTTGATCTTTCCGAAAGACACGAGAAAGACCCTCAACTTCAATCGGGTCTCCGACACTTGTGCCAGTACCATGAACTTCGACGTAGGCAGTATCTGCTGGATTAAGTCCGGCACGAGCATAGGCCTTGCGAATAACTGCCTCCTGCCCGTCGACACTGGGCTGCGAGATGCCCGGTGTTCTGCCATTGCTGTTTACTGCAGTTGAGCGGATTATGGAACGAATCGCATCTTTGTCACGGATGGCATCGTCCAGTCGCTTGATATAGAGCGCTCCGACGCCGTCAGCTCGAGCGTAGCTGGCCCCAGCATAGATTTGTCAACCAGGTTTGTCCGTTGGGCAGTACCGGACAGAGGAGAGTGAAAGAACTTAACTCACCCATCAGCGGAAGAATCGAACGTTTGGCACTTTGAAGCCGGTGAAAGCACTCCACCCAGTGAGGTCCCAACGTGCACCTCTGGAGTCTGAATGAGGTTAACACCGGCCACGACGGCGGCATCACATTCGCCGTTTTCCAATGCAGAGCAAGCCATATGTAATGCATAGAAGGATGAGGAGCATGCAGTGTCCACCACGCAACTCGGTCCTTTCATGTTGAAAACATGGCTGATCCTGTTACCGAGAAGAGTTGGTCCCATACCCAGGTGAGTGAACCTGGTCATGTTCTCCACATCCTTGGTCTGCATAGCGATGAAGTCCGGCGTGAATGAAGCGACTTTGGTCTTGTCAGTCGGCCAATTAATTGACGGGGATCCAACTGGCTGGCCACGCACCATAACATCCTACATTCGCACCTGACACATCGTCCAAGGTAACGCCAGCGCTTTCAAAGCTTTCGAAAACAACCTCAAGCAGCTTCCGCTGTTGTGGGTCCATATCTGCAGCCTCTCGGTTGTGAATGCCAAAGAACTGGTTGTCGAAGTTCCGAATGTCTTCCTGCAGGAAGCACCCGCCTAATGCTACGGTAGTCGACGGTTCATCCTTGCTCCCGTGAAAGCTGTCAACGTTAAACCGTGACTTGGGTACCTTGCCGGCTGCTGAACGTTCTTCCGCTAGAAAATCCCATAGCTCAGATGGACTGGAAATATTGCCAGGAAAGCGGCAGCCTGGAGTATACTCGTCAATAGTTGTCATCGTGATCACAAAAGAATACTTACCAATGCCAACAATAGCAATCGATTTGTTATTCGACACAGCTGGCTTCGTGTGGCCGTTCTCTAAAGGCGTCGCTTGATTTTGGAGTAACTGCATCTTCAACTGTATTTTGTGGTCTTGGATGAGATACTTTCTGTGTAATGTCCCAGGGTTATATGCCTGGCCTTTTTAGCCCTGTCTGCGAGGGCGCGTATAGTCATATTATAGATGCACATGACAACCGCCGTTCTTGCAGTGGACCGTTGCCCCCGACCCGGCAATTCCAAATATGACGAAACATGGCGCTCCAGATGAGGAAGCTGAGAATTTGAGAAACGGCGAGGCAGATATGGGCGCTTACACAGTGCATGCGCTGACAGATCGGCAGCTTAAACTCGGGTCTCGGGAGTCTTCAGCCCCCACCCTGAACGGCTGAGGGTGGGGGCCAGAACACTAAGGCAGCCCCCTTGCAGAACTCCGCATGCTCAGAGTACACAGCCTCCTAGCCTTGGCCTGCACAATGAATCATACGATACCTTAATATAGCACTATGGTGGCTACATCTAGCACTGAAAGAGAAACTATTCTCACTCGCAATATCTTCGATAATTCAAGTCATTGAAGCTGCGTGAGAGATGCGATTAAGCGCATGTCTTTTGTCATTTAAGCACAAAAATATATATATCTATATACAAGGGCAAAAACCTGGCAGATCAACAGCATCGAGTCAGATAACGCACATGACACCTTGGCTCATCACAGACCGTTCGCGTAACCACTTAATACAAGATCAAAGGGCGGGGTCGAGTAATGTCAGCAATCTGACTCATATAAGCCTGTATCATTCTCAAACCCCTGTAAATAAGATAATGTATGTACCTCGGCGGTTACAGTAGCCAAGGTTTTAGATAAGAAATAAAAGAAAAAAAAGAAACAAACAAGGAATTTTCATTCGTCAATAATATAATAAAAACATTGAGTTTGCTGTAGGTATGCAACCATAGGGCCGTTTTCCCGTGTACCTACGTGTATCTACGTGAGCTAGAATCCTATTTGAGATCCTCATCACGCCAATAATTCCTCGGTTAAAACTTTCTGAACCTCCTCCAGGTACATGCTAATGTGTGCTGGTTCCTCATACCCATCGTTGAAGCTGTACACGAGCCGCAGCTGGTCGCGGAACGTGTATATGAAAAACATGGTCATGCCGAGAACAATCTCGACGCCCAGCTTCACGTCCAGAACCTTGGCCGTGCTGCCATATGTGTGTTGTATATACCGCTCGACGATGCCCAGGCTGCTGACCTGTGCATCTCCAGGAATGGGGCCCCCCTGGTACTCGGGCATCTGAATAGCTTGGCAGAGGACGCGTGTCATGTGTGCGTGCAAGGGCAGGATCTCAGGGTCATTTTTAACACTGGAACCATAATAATTATCCAGTGTGCGGGCTGTCTCCCAGAATTGCGAAGGTAGGTCCATGTTTAACGGAAGAGGTGTGTAGTAAACCGAGGCCGCGTACTCGTTCGTGCTGTAGGGTTTTGGGAGATATGGTCGCAGGTTGAACAGCCCTAAGTTTGCATAGTGGGATAAAGTGCCATTGGGATTAGCATGTTTGATAATCGCCTGGATGTACGCTGCGTGTACGGCAGAGGTAACGCTGATGCCTTTTTCTTTGCATATCTTGATAACTGCTTCTGTTGTCCGCGTGGGGAATGTCATTTCGACATTCTGGGACCGGCCGGCAGGTACGGTGCCAACTTTAGACACTGGGCCAACGCCCGGAGCTTTGGTCGCATACCCCATGAGGAGAGCTGTGGCTTTCTCAGTCTCTTCTGGCGTCGGCTCAGATACTTTGAGCACTTCCTCAATGGAGGGTGCCAATCTGGTATGTTCGTCACCGAATGTAACCTCGACTGGACTTGTCAAGGCTGTTAGATAGCGGTCCCAGAGCAATAGTGTACCGGTCCCATCAATTGTGTAATGCTGAGCGCGCAATACAAGCTCCGATGACTTCGGAATATAGTACAGCGTAACTTGCTTGATCGGCTCAACATTGCGGCATAACTCCTCTGCATCTGCAGCCGATGAGATAACAAAGGTCGAGGCAAGCCACTCCTGCAAAGCTGCCTCATCGGGAACCTCATAGACCATCGTCGTGCCATCAACTACGGTAGCGATCTGGGGCTGTTCAGACCGTAACTGCTTCCAGGCGCGCTTCAACGCAGATTCGATGTCAGCTGGGTTGATATCGAGATCAACCCTCAGCTTAGAGAAGATGGTGTACTGGTGGCGGCCATCGCAGTGGGCAGCTGACATCGACCCCGTATAGACAAAATAACCCTCCATTCCGGTGACAGGGCGCTCCCAGCGGCGCTCTGATACTTTTGTCCAACTCATGACTGCTTGGTACTCCTTGTTTGTGAAATAGAATGGGACAGCAGAATTTGAGGCCTAGGATAACGTGAAAAATGGACAGAGATATGGCGGGTGATGCATTGGGATCGTGACAATCTTAAATCCTCCCCGAGCATTGCTAGGCAGTTTATCTAGGCAGACTTGGCTTTGCCCCCATTTAATCTATACTTTCCCTTTGTGTTCCTGAGACCCCACAAGGGGCCGTGCTGTGATCTCCGCCCATACTCGGTAGTGCATCCTGGTTCTCTGATTGTCTCTCAGCCGTTCCGCTGAACTTGTATTGGCACTAGTCTATTCTAAGAAATAGCTGCGAGCATCATTAAACTTGAGACTTGTGTATACAAACTGGTCTAAGATAGCTTTAAAAAGGGTTTTCATTTTAATTTTACGCTTTAATTACTCAACAATTTATATAGAAACTGATACTGATATAGTTTATAAACTATAAAACTATGTTAAATTGATGCCACTACATTCCACAGGACCAAAAGGTCATATAATTCTGAATGCAGATTGTCCTGGAGTATCTATACAGCAAGCGGCCGGTACAGTATTTTACGAAATCTAAACAAACCATTTCACATGGTCTATATAGATTTGTAGAGTTGGCAAGCAAGAGGAAAATATATATCATGATTAAATAGTATAGAAACGTAAGAGAGGAAAGCATAGCCAATTGATTTAGCTGCTATGAATCAGAATTTTGCCATTTTAGTACGGAGTATTCCGGATTGCAGTCAGTATTACAGTTTAAATCAGCGGTGACCTCGTCGGCAAATTTAGATATCATGAATTTTATCTTCATTCCCAACTCCAAAACTTAATTGGGAAGAATTTTAAAATAGAACAGGGATCTTCCAATCAGTGGAAATAGTACTGAGGTGAGGAATGCGAATAATGGCGGAGGAAATGCTAACTAACCCTAAAGGCAGGCCGTAAGCCAACCCACGGCTATCACAAGGCTGGATTTATCAAGATAATCGCCCCCACCGCAAGGGGCATAAGCAATGAGACGCTGACAGCACAACTAATTAACTCTCATTTGCTCACACTCTCTCCATTCCTACCCCTCCCTCGTCAGAAGCAATGGAGGGGCCAAGTGAGGCGCAATATAGCCCAATGGGGGCTGATTCTGCAGGTTAAGCAAGGACAGCCATGCATGACGACTCACTCCTCCGTAAATGCCAGTGCATGGCAAGCTGACCGGCTTATCTTCAAGCCTGTAAGATCCGTCTGCTTTTCTTTTTCATCCACCGTCGTTTTGCTTCCGCGCCGCTTCCCTTCTTACAACCCTGGACGAGCACGACAACCAACATGGCCCTAGATGTACCGGATGGCACGCCCGACCGTGGGCAAGGCGTTGTGATATTGAGCATCATCCTTATGGTCCTGATAATCCTGGCTACCGTCACTCGTATTATGAGCAAGGTTGTTGCGCACCAAAACTGGTGGTGGGATGACCTGTTCGCAATCCTCTCTGTGGTAAGTCCCATTACTGGCACAAAGTACATATCAAACCCGAAATAAAGATCAGGAAACTAAGCTTCCCATCCACAGGTCTGCGAACTAGTCGTGCTATCCCTGGTCCTAGTATGGAGAAACATCGGCCTGGGTTACCACATGTCCGTGGTGGCGTCTATTAATCCAGAATACCTAATCACCGGATCCAAATACCTCTTCATCGCGATCTTCTTCTTCGACGCCTCAGTCTGCCTCCCCAAGATCTCCGCGGTCTTCTTCTACGCGCGCGTCTTCCGCTCCAACAACCGCGCCTTCCGCATAAACCTCTGGATCATCGGTGCCCTCGTTTCTGGCTGGCTCATCTCCGCCGAAATCTCAACCATCTTCCAATGCAACCCCATCGCCAAGGCATGGGACACCACTCTACCAGGAACATGCATTAAGCAATACGACTGGTATCTATCAACCGCGATCCTCTCCACCGTCATCGACTTCTACATCCTCATCCTCCCGATCCCAATGATCTGGTCCCTGAAAATGAGCCTCCGCCGCCGCATTTATCTCCTCATCTGCTTTTTCATGACTTACTCCGTCATCGTCCTGTCCCTGGGCCGTCTTGTCGCTGTGGTCAATATCGTCCCGATCATGCCAAACGATTTGACCTGGGAGTTCCCGCTATACCTCTACTGGTCCGTCTTGGAGGGCTCGATTTCCATTGTCTCAATTAGTGTTCCGAGTGGCATCGCCCTTGTGAAAGCCATTATTCGACCGAATGGGAGTTCCTGGGGGTCCAGCAATGGGAGCAGTGGGAAGCGGGGGAGCTACGGAAACACCACTATTATTAAACCCACCAAGGAACGGCCAACACGCATCTATGGCGATAGGGACAGCGACGACCATCTCGTCTCGGACGTCGAGACTGCCAGAACAATGAGTGTGGATGGAGATGACGCCAATATCCCGCTAGGTGGAATCAAGATCCGGACGGATATTCGGATTATGAATCGCGAGAAATAGTAAACCCAAAGAAGAAAAAGGAGAATGAAATGAAAGAGCAAAAAGTGAGAAAAAAAAAAACAAAAACAAAAACAAAGATGCTTGATAAGTATCTATCCAACGTGGGCTGGGTGGATATTTGGTTACTACTTATTTGCGATGTTTTGACTACCATTTAGCGATGTATATATTCCCTCTCTGCAATGACGGTTCAATGATACCTATTTTGTCTATACCCATCGTCTGCTTTTATTTGTCGATAGGGCAACCCTTTCTGCCACAATGCTTCTCTGCATACAAGCCCAGCTTTGCAGCACAGACCTTTTCAACTTGACTGTTGTCAATCAAATTGCTTCGTAAAATGTGTACACCCTCATTTTGTAAAATTTCATCTTGTCTCTTGCATATTGCAACTACTACATACAGGCATTATGCTATTTGTTGAATGAAATGTCCAAACATTCACTATAACATGCATTCGTAAACCAGATAATTCAAACTCCCCATATGTATATATCTAAGCCTGGATAAACTTAAAACTACCCGGAACCTGTGTCAGAAAAACACCAGATGGGCCATACTTCTCCGGCACCCTAGCGAGCTCTTCTAAATCATCCTCCCTATATCTGTGAAGCAGGTTTTGTCTTGGGCTCGCCTAATTCAGATACACAAGTAGTCAGCTTGCTCCATATACCATTGCGAACAAGGACAGCGCATGCATGATAAATCCCAGTTGAGAATTGAAATATATGGGCGCCAGTGGAATGATCCTTTTCAGGGATCCGCTTCCCACAGGATTGATCGACCCGAACTCAGTTGTCTTCCCGTTTATATAAAATGATACGGGCCCGATGCCTCCCCGTATCCCGTAGAGCCCATGTGTGCCAAGTACTTGGTGTAAGCGCCTCGAATGAGAAGAGAGGCATAGAATCATTTCAAGACCCATAGTGCAAGAGCGGAACTCTAATTATTGACACAAGGCGACTCAAATAATAACGCACAGCTGAATTTCATTCGTCAGTGATGGAGAGACATATTCCGAAGATTGCTTAACTCGATTATAGTATGATCCAAGCGGAAGCACCAAAGAAGCCGTTCGTTGAGAGGTTAATTAATTTGACAGAAGATATTCTCAGGGGTACCTCCTCAGGGATGGAACTCTCTAGAGGATATCTTCATGATAAACGACGGGGATAGTAGTTGCAGGGACTGCCGTAATAATGGTATCTTATATCCAATATTGATACACAACTCCAGGAGAATATAGTATATACTAGTACTTTCTTCCCTCTTGTTCTTCCAACAACCGCGATGAATGACCGGAATGGCCTGGATGCAGTGTCGCCATCACGTGCTGCAACGCCTCGCAGCCCGACCGTGAACCCATTCCAAACAGCCATCACCAGCTCACTGAATCCTTTCCATAAGCCCTCGACCTTCGGCTAGATTGACAATCAGAGATTGACAGTCACTCCACCAACAATGTCAACCGAGCCACTTCTACCCTCTTACTCCTCCATTCTGGAGAACGAACGAGAGCGACGTCCCTACCGATACAGGCAAGGCAGTAGAAGGGCCAACACAACCCCGCCACTTCCTCCAGTTCAACTTCTCAGCGCCCTGTTCTTTGCCGGTGCCGTGATAGCCTCTACATACTGGGCCTACAAGAGCTATACAGCTCCGGACGGGGTAATTTTTCTCATTTCCATCTGACAGTCCTGACCTCTCTGATTATATTCACAGGCCCCACTGGAGGCAGCTCCTTTGCTCCCTTACTTTGCATCGTTATCCCTGATCCTTTCTTTCTGTTCGTGGATCGGCTACCTAGTCTCCATCCTCTATGACCAGGACAACCTTTCTCTTTTCCAGCGGAAACTTGTCATATGGATCTCAGTCGTTGGAAAGGTAGTGTTAGGGGTCGCACACGCAGTCATTTGGTTCGAATACAAACAAGTCTTCCCCGGCACAAAACAACCCAACTGGATTATTATGTTTCTCGCGATGCAAGCATGGTGGGACTTCCTGCTGTTAATCGGGTATTCTATGCTGCGAATAATGTAAGCGACGGCTAGGTTAGACTGTTTAAGGATTTTTCATGGGTAAGAGGAGTTGCATTTGTTCTATTGTTGTCGTGGCTGGGGCTGTTCTTTTGGTCAAATATAACTATACCTATTTAAAGATCCATGGAGATGCAAGACTCATAAGCTAAGATCTCAGATGATTTCTCTCTACCGACTCGATCCTAGGAAACTGATTGAATCACAGCGTTTTCGACTCCTTCAGTGTTCTTATTTGACCGGCCAGATCGTTTAGCGTATTCCATTTTAATCCTCATATCCTGGGCAGGGTCGAATCCTCTGGCCTTTGCACGTTTAAAGATATCCTGCATAGTCCGCGGGGAAAGTCCTAGAGATGCAGCAATCTCTTTTTGAAGGACTCCTCAGGCTAGGGGCGTTAGAGCTTGAATCCTTGATTCAACCGGATGGAATACCATGCTCTAGAGCCCCTCACTAGGTAGGCAGGTAGGCAGGCAGGTAGGCAGGCAGGCGTCAAATCCATAACCCCAGAAAGCTGTGTTTGGATAAAAAAACAGGCCCAGGGACGCCTCATTAAATAAATCACTATGGCGGCATCGGAAAGTGGGTCCTAAATTACTGCGTCCTCCGGAGTACTCCGTCCGAAGATGGATATATCCCACTAAACCGCCTTCGGTTAGTTAGGAGTGGAGCCTCGGCCCGCACGAGACCTTTGTTGCTCCTCAGGCCGCAGAGGACCGGGGAAGCTTAGAATTCTCAACACTGTCTGTAATGGTCTATCAACCTCGTATCAGCAAAGGGTGTGGCAATTGTCGCACCCGCAGAATTAAAGTATGCTCTTGCCGTTTCACTCTATATTGAAGTCTTTGCTAAGCATTGGCCAACAGTGTGATCGAGCAGAACCAACATGTTCGCAATGTGTGCGAGCATTCTTCTCTTGTCCAGGCTACCGCGATCTGCAACAACTGCATTATCGCAATGAGAACGAGAAAGTTAGGTCCCGGGTGCGATCTGCTCAGTACAGTACTGAACGACAAGTCGGTTGGGCAAAGGAAACCGGGCCACAAAGTCGCCAAGCCTTCAAAGCCGCGGTTGTTGCTCAGTCTCTACAATCTCTCCCTGCATCCCTGTCATCGTCCACATCCGCTGAGTCGGTCGGCTTTTTCTTCCGGTACTACGTTCTTGAAGATGGCCACAATATCCCTATCTATTTGAGTGCCTCCCAGATGGAAGTGCTGGCAGCAAACAGCCCGTCAGTCATGCAGAGTCTGGTCGCAGTGGGCTTAGCAGGGCTGTCTAATATCAAAAAGTCCCCTGATTTGATGAGTAAAGCAACTGAGGAATATACGCGAGCACTGCATTTAATTAACGGCGCTTTAAAAGATGAAGCTCAGCGCAAGAGTGACGCTACACTAGCGGCTACAATGCTTCTTGGCATGTTTGAGGTAGGCTGAGCTACCTTAGTTGGAGTAAACATATTGATTCCACTAGGTCCTGACGTGCAACACTCCCTCCTCCTTAGAGTCATGGGCCCAGCATATTCGTGGTGCCTCAGCCCTTATAGAAATGAGAGGGGCCGAGCAGATCAAATGGATCGTTGGCATGAGAATGTTCACCCACCTGCGAGTGCAGATCGTAAGCACCAATAAAACTGTCTTGGGAACCTCCATCACAACTGACACCCAAGTTAGATAGCCAGCTGCTTGCACTGGCGCCTTTCCATTCCAGCATCGATTGTGCACTGGTCTCTCCAGGCTATGACAGAGAGATCAGTAGCGGACGCGAAAGCGGATGAGCTGGTTGATCTGGTTGCTCACGTTGCCCGACTGCTATCCCAAGCACGAATGAATCTGGCGTCTGATATAGTATCCTCGGCAGCAACTATTGACAGATACCTTCGCCAGTGGAGACAGACTCTTCCGCCTCGATGGGCTTACCAGACCGTACCAGGGCCTCCCGTGCGCAACCGGAGCCCGTCTCATATAAAGTTCTACTATACCCACGTATATCATATATACCCTGATCTTTGGGCATGCAATATCTGGAACTTTTATCGAAGCGCTCGCATACTACTGAACCAATTGATGCTGAACAGTGCGGAGATAGGTGATCAAGCAGAACATGTCCAGAGAAGAGAAACTGTGGCCCAGTTGAGTACAGAGATTGCGGAAAGCGTTCCTTTCGCACTTCAACTTGTAGACAGCAGAGCCACAAATTTTCCCTCGCTTGACCACTGTCTTGGGGGATTTACGATTTTATGGCCCCTATACGTGGCGGCCAATACAAACCCTTTAGGCTCTACATTGCGGGAATGGGTAGTTGAACGATTCGAGACGATTGGGAATGATATGGGTATAGGGCAGGCCCATTTCATGGCCAGAACTCTACGAAACACATGTGCCCCTGTCCCCTAATCACCAGTGCCCCTTCTTTCGTCTGTGGATATTCTAAGAGAGTGGGCTCAATATACTTGTTATATGAGGCGCGGTATTCTATGCCCTATGTCGCATCATCTCTGTGGATCATTATCGTATAATAATCGACTATGTACAGCGTTTCACCCTTTCTAGCAAACAGCCTTTTAAGGGCCCCCGGAAATGTAACAATATTACATATTCCCGGGAAAGACTATATCTACAAATGGCTCTGTTGGGGTGCAGATGCCCCAACCAATGTCATTAACTTGAAGAGCAGGCTCACGTCACCCTCTGAACTGTTATCTGGGATGCCTCCACGCCCATTCAATATCTCCACCAATTCGTTCTTTGTGAGGGTTAGACGCAGACTGGATGTGCCAATAGACCTGTCCTGACCTGTTGTGATACGATATGTCAACGCCCCGTTGCTCAAAATTAACCGCCAACGTTGCTTTTCATCATGCACATGCAGGTCTATCGTGAAGGATTCTTCTGCGGCTTTCGGTCCATCTAATTGAACGGACAGAAGAGTAAGCAGTTGTTCCATTGATAGTGCAGCCATGTATTCACGCTTCGGGTGTTCCAGACGATCTAGCACTGCAGGAGAGCACATATCCTGGGCACCGGAAAGGTAGAAGTTGCGCCATGTCGCATTTTCACAGCCATATGCAAGTTTCCTGTATACAGATGCCAACTCAAGTCTTGACTCTTTGTGCTCGGGATGAGCGGCTATGACATGGCCCAATAATGTCACCGCGAAGCGTAAATCGCCGTTACTAGCGTACTCCTTTGCCTTCCGAACAACCTCGTCCAGACCTCCCATACAATCAATGTATCTTTGACCAGCTTCAGCTGCTGGGTACTCCCATAGGTGTGCTGGATTCCCATCGAACCAACCCAAATAGCGTTGGTAGATGCCCTTGACATTATGACTAACAGAGCCATAGTAACCCTGTGTATGCCATGCCATTTGCAATGCCGGCGGGAGGGAGAATCTTTCCGCAATCTCGATGCCCGTCAGGCCGAGATTCATCATCCGCACAGTTTGATCATGAAGGTAGGTGTAGAGGTCTCGTTGCTCTGATATGAACTTGACGATTTTGGCCTGGTCCCAGGTCGGCCAATTGTGGCCAGCGAAGAGCACATTGGCTTTTTGTCCATATAGCACTGCTGTTTCATCGAGATAGCGTGCCCAAGCCTTCGCGTCACGAACCAGGGCCCCGCGAAGGGTGATTATGTTGTGAAGGCAATGTGTCGCACATTCAGCAATGCAAAGTGCTTCGTGGTCGGGAAAATAGAAGTTCATCTCTGCCGGTGCCTCAGTTTCAGGGACCATTTGAAATTCAATCCGAACGCCATCCACCGTGCGTTCCTCGCCTGTGTGGCAGATAGAGACGTTTGGAGGAATCAATGACATTGTCCCACTAGAGGGCATCATTCCAAGACCACAGCCAATGTGACCGTCTGGCCCTTTCGGTAATCGCATGCCATACATATAGCCTGCACGCCGGCGCATGGCGTCGCCGACGTATATATTCTCACTGGTCGCTTCAGCCATGAATCCCTCCGGGGCGATAATAGGTATCGATGTATTCGTGCCTGATGGCAGCACACCCTGAGCTCCGCCAAAATGATCTACATGTGAGTGAGAGTAGATCAAACCAGTTACTGGCCGGTCTCCCCGGTGTTCACGGTAAAGCGCCAGTGCAGCCGCTGCACACTCGACGGACGTCAGCGGGTCAATCACAATAACACCTTTATTTCCCTCAACGACGGTCATGTTTGAGAGATCGAAACCTCGGATTTGGTATATTCCATCAGTCACTTGGAAAAGGCCCTGGATTGAGTTCAATTGGCCTTGTCGCCACAGCTTTGGCTCGGCCGTTGCAGGGCAGTGTGCGTCTCGAAGAAAATCGTATTCGTCGTTGTTCCACACTACCCGGCCACTGGCATTTCGTATGATACATGGTTTCAGTGAATCGATAAACCCTCGGGTGGCGTTCTCAAAGTCGGCTCTGTCGTCAAATGATGGTGAGAAGGTCATAATGGAGAATGTTTATGATACGTGGAATCTGTCGTTTGGTTGGTTTCGGCGCTACTCTTCCACGACTAGGCGGCAGGCAGCAATTATATATTTCGCTCTGGCGGGTAAAAAGAAAAGGAAAACAAAGGAAGTGAGAAAGTGAATCACTCGCAAACCTCGGTTCGACCAGAAGCGCCCATAAAGTCCATAGAGGGTCCTCCATGGATGCTTAGATAACCTCACGATTCACTTGCCGAATATGGTTTAAAGCGCAGACAGATCTCCATCAACGACCAAACTATGGTACCCACTTTCCCCACCGCTAAATTTACAACTAAGCGGGGACCAATGGGTATGCACAAAGCACTTGAGATGGCTTTGGATGTGCAACATCGCCCTAGAATGATGTGATTAACAATGCCATGAAAGTATGAACGCTGAACCGAGGTGAGGCAAAGGGATTGTTATAAAAAGGTTGAGGGGACAGCGGCTCAAGATGTCCAAGGCCGCGTCAATCTAGCGGGAACAAAGACGACAAACCAGACACCATGGCGAAAGTTGAGACATATCTGGAGGAGAAGAGACAGCTGGGTGGGTCTCTATCAGGTACAGACAGTCTAGAAGATGATTTGGATAGGGATGAGGTCTACCCACTTAAGGAACAGAGAAGAATCTTGCACAAGATCGATCGAAGACTAGTCACGGGCTTAGGGCTTCTCATGTGTGTTAGTTTGGTGGATCGGACCAACTTGGGAAATGCTATGATTGCTGGGTAAGTTGTCATACATTGCATTCTGGATGAATATCATGTTGATGAAACCAAAGCATGGAAGAGGAGCTTCGCCTCTATATTGGTTCTCGCTACGTGAGTATGACACATGTCTTTCTACCCAATACAGGCGCTAACTGTCAGTAGTCCATCACGCTCCTGACCTTTTTCATTCCCTATGTCCTATTTCAGTTCCCGCTTATTACGGTAATTCGAAAGATTGGGCCGAAGATCTTCCTTTCTGGAATCACATTTTCCTGGGGAATTGTTATGATGGTAGGAAGCCCTGCCTTGCGTGCGAAGGACTGGTTAACCATAGCTAGGGATTTGGATTTATACATAACTGGACGGTGCTGGTTGGACTTCGCATAGTCTTGGGGTTCCTTGAAGCTGGGCTCTTCCCTGGCTCAGTGTATCTCCTTTCTATGTGGTATACCCGATGTGAGTCTTCGGCCTTGTCGGTTGTGGATAATCGCAGCTCACCGTGTCTAGACGACTTGCACAAGAGATATTCATCCTTCTATTTAATTAGCGTCATTGGGGGAGCTTTCTCCGGAATTCTGTCCTATGGCTTCGTACACATGAATGGCCTAGGTAATTTGAGTGCATGGAGATGGATCTTTGTTATGGAAGGGATCCTCACCTGTCTCGTCGGAGTGGTCGGCTTCTTTTTAATTGTCAACTTCCCTAACGAGAATAATCTCTCCTGGAAGTTTCTTTCCAAAGAAGAAACCGCATTCGTTGTCCGACGACTAAACCGAGATAGGCGCGACTCCTCCGAAGCCGCGTTCAATCTAAAGGAATTTCTAAAGCCCGCTCTAGACCTTAAAGTATGGGGCTTTGCCCTCATTTTCTTGTGAGCTCGCAAACCCAACCACCACTCTGAAAGACACTCATTATCAATAGTTCTGCCACAGTTGTGTCGTATGCGATTACGTTCTTCCTTCCGCTCATTCTCCGAAGTGAGCTCAAATTTCCCCAAGCAGCATCCCAAGTCCTCACAACGCCACCATACTTCTTCGCCGGCATCTTCATGTATGCTCAGGGCTGGCTTGGTGACAAATACCACATCCGCGCTCCATTGATTGTCTACAACTGTATTCAATGCATCGTGGGTTTAGCCATTCTCGGCTGGGTCCAAATCCCTGGCGTGCAATACTTCGGGATCTTCCTCGTCACTTCAGCATCCAATGCTACAATCCCGGCCGCCCTGACATATCAGGCAAACAACATCCGTGGGCAGTGGAAACGCGCCTTTTGTAGTGCGAGTATAGTCAGCTTTGGCGGTACTGGTGGTGTAGCTGGGTCCCTGGTGTTTCGGTCGCAAGATTCTCCTCGCTACCTCCCCGGCATATATGCCTGTATTGCGTGAGTGGACTCTTTTATCTGCCTTGCTCTTTTACTGACAATTGCCCAAGGTGCAATATCTTGTCAATAGTCGTAGTAGGTGTGCTCAGCCTTTATTTCTACATCTCGAACAGACGAGCAGCAAAGGGCAAATGTGTCATTGAAGGACTCCCAGAGTTCCGATATACACTTTGAGGTGACATTGGAGTTGTTTTTCCTCTGGGAGGATGCCATGGTCCTTGACAATGAATTAAGTATGATATGGATACTTAGATAAGTCTTTTGAATTGATGAAAATTAAACAAATAAGAAACCGGAGTTCACCGTTGACTCGATTGTAAGCACAGTACTGAAGGTAGAACACTATTCAGTCTCCGGCGAAATTTGAGAGCAGAAGAAGCATCATATCAATGACTTTCACTTGCTGCTAATACACCGAGTGAAAGGGGAAAGAATATAAATATAAATATAAATATCACCTGGATCCAACTCGCACTCACTGTTACCATGACCTCACGAGTTAAGGAGATACAGCAACAGTTCTTTCAATCCGGTCCACCTGTCTTGGTACTCGCACCAAGAGGTTTCGCTCGGTAGAATCTACCCCCAATGGTGGTAACATTGAGTTGGACGGAGAGGGTTGTGAGGAGGGTTTGGATTTTCATGGGTATGTTGTTTGTTTGGCATATGGTGATTTGGGTTTGGGGTGTGTCACTGAATGGAGGGGAATGAAGAATGATCCGTGGAATATATGTGAACGTTATACATGTTCCATGTTTTCTGATTGTAAGTAATTGAAAGTGAAGACATAGTCCTCTTTAGCAACAGATCGTTGCACAACGCATCGCTTGTGGAGTTTTCTCTCGGCTGCTATTTTAACCGATTACACAGAAGCAGTCGATAGCCACCTAGCAAGTCCACCACGTCGCTTCGGCTTGGATTTAACTCCGTATTTCTCAAATATTGTATTGGTTCGCTATGATCTAATTATTGGGCTCTAGTGCCCTAGTATGTGGCAAACTAACGCCTTCCGGAATTACATACGATGCAGTTGACTCGTCCTGGCCTGCGTGTTGGTAAGACCCAACTCAAGTCCTCCTCAACACCAAGGCGATATAGCCAAACAATCGGTAAACGGCAATAATGCCTATCAGAATACCCACCCACTTCCCTGTCCGACCCGTGGCATACCCATATTCCTTCAGAACTCCGGTTCCTCGGATCATGCACTGATCTGCCAGGTCTGTCTGATACATACATTGACACCCCGAGCCACACGAAAATGTCCTCTCACTAAACTCGTTAACCATCATCCCTTGAAAGACATACGCCTGCACCCGAGTCAGTCACACACTTTTAGCGACTCAGAGTTGAGAAAAGAGTAAGGTACCTGGTAATCAATGTAGTGGAAAACATATTTCCAGAATGGATTCAGGATGGTCGGCGAAACGAGGAACCCGCCCACGCTCATCCAGAGCCCGTTGGCAAATGCAACGAGCGCCAGGCTGATCACAAAGTTCGGGAAGATGGCTGTTACGAAGACGACGAGAGATTCGGCGGCGACGAGGTCCAGAAAGAGCCACATCACCCAGGTGAAGAATGCGGCGCCTGTGGGCCGGAAGTTGGAGAGCCAGTAGCTGACTATGGAAAAGAGGACGGAAATGATGACTTTTTGGGGCATTGTTAGCTTAGTCCAATCAGTGATTTGACAGTTTGGGGAGGGACATACATAGGTACGGCAGGCCGATGATGAAGTTGGAGATCACGAAGGGAAGCGCGCCATAGAGTCCGTTTGCTCGTTCTTTGGTAAAAGTTGCCCGGTCCTCGAGGAAGGATGGGACATAAGCGACAGCCATAAAGCTCATGAAGCTGAGCCGAAGAACTGATTCTCGTTAGGCCATAGTCCAGAAGGAAGAAAGATAAGGAGCTCACAATTGCATTGATGAATGGTTGGATGTACTCCTGGGAGGTATGGAGGCGAAGCCATACCGTCCCCATCATGATTGCCAGTCCTACAGATCATATTAGTTTTGTGAGATTGAGACAGGGATGGGGAGCCTGTACCTAAATACATGACAATCCGAATACCATAGGCTACAACGTCGCGATAGCTTTTGATGAAGAGCCGATGGAGAAGAGACATGGTAATTCGGGGAATACCTGGGCGGCTTAGTTCGTCGATGTTCATTATATTGCCGTTCTTCTCGTTGGTGGCGCTCTGTGGTTGCTTGCTTAATGCAGCATACTCGGCGGACTGTGCCCATGCGGTTTGGATCTTCTCGACTTGGTCCTCGTGGACAGTGAAGTCAGAACTAACCGCATCCAAGAGGTATTCTGCCGGATTTGTATTGGAGGGGATCGGATATCCAATGTTATTGAAGTAGCTTGGGACTTCGGAAACGGGTCCGAAATAACATGTCTTTCCGCCCGACAGAAGGAGGAGGTTGTCAAACAGCTGGAAGGTTGTTGTCGATGGCTGGTGGATACTTGCGATTATGATAAGCTTTAGTTTTATGTGTCAGTCAAATGTGATATGCTTATAAACCCCTCCCCAAAACGACATACATTGTTTGCTACCGCAAGCCTTTTGACGTATGAGATAACCTCGTAGCTAGCAGTCGAATCCAATCCGCTTGTTGGCTCGTCAAGGAACAAGATCTTGGGACATGTGATAAGCTGACTGGCGACGCTGACCCGTCGCTTCTGGCCTCCACTGATTCCCTTACGGATTGGCGTGCCCACCAGAGTCGAGGCCTGGTTCTGGATTCCGAATGCGCTCAGCAGGGTCTGGATACGCTCTGCCCTTTGTGATCGTGTCACCGATCTAGATTGTGTCAGCCCATGAATACACGGAAAAAGTGATAAAGGTTGAAGGAGTCCATACCCCGGCAGAGACAGATCCGCGGCAAATTTCAGTGTCTCCCGCACCGTCAGGGATCCGATCAAGGCATCCTCCTGTTCGACGTAGGATGTGATCCGGTTGAAGGTGCCATTGTCCAGCTTTGCTCCATTTACGTAGCACTCCCCCGTATTTTTCGCACCGGCGGAAGCTGTGCGACGCGCAAGAACGTTTAAGAGAGTTGTTTTCCCGCAGCCAGAGGGGCCCATCAGCGCAATCAGCTGCCCTGTTTCTGGTTAGTACTTTGTTCGACGTCATGTATTATTTTGCAATGCTATACCATGGTGGGCTGTTCCGCTGCATCCCTCGATCAGATTCCGAGGCTCTTTTGTGCGTCTATCCTTTACCGTCACGGTCAGATTATCCCACGTGAAGGATTGAACGGTGTTGTTCATCAAAAACTGATGGTCATTTCGTTCAAGATCAAGGGTATCTGGAGGGCTGGCTTGGTCGGGCTCCATAGCGCACAACGGTTGTGATCGAAAGGTGGAGTTTTACCACAGAAACACAGTGCATGGACCGATTGTGGGCGAGGCTGGGTAGATTTATAATAAATTGAAATACTTGAGCGTTGGCGAAGCATGACAGGATCCCTGTCGGTGTCCAACCAACAAGAAACCAGTCAGGTGCAGTGGTTTATGGAATGTGGCAGGGGATGGCAAGAGAAAAGTCGCCGACTCGTGGACGGACTATTGTTTGGATCGTCAGTGTTGCATTTGCAGCAGTGATTTGACTACTATTACTACTTTGTACTTAGTACTAGGTACTACTCGTAGCCTCAGGCTGCCGATCGGTGGGCCCTACAAGCAAGGGTGATCCCCGAGGGTTGCGAAAAAGTGGATGAACGCCGTTTGTCCGATCTGGGTCCCATGGTACCAGGAGGATTTTCCCGAGAGTAAAATTTCATGTCTTGGGAAGGTCCCCGATTCGTGCGAGAAAAGTAGAGTACTCTATGGCAATGCATCGGTGATATTCCAGCTGAGGGTTACATTGCCCATTTTGTAAGCACTTGTCTCGTCCGAAAAAAATCTGAGGAGAAAAAAAGAAGCAAATACAGGCTCAGCATTGTGCACGGTCCCTATTTGTTCAGCTCCCTTTCTTACTGGTACTACCTAGTCGTTCACTTTTGTCCTCATTGGGCTTAGTTTCGCCAACGGTCCCGTTCATCACGAACCGTCACGTTCCTTGGGCTGATTCACATTGGAGGCGTTGCTGAACCATTCAGCTGCCACTGTTCCCATTCTCTTTCAACTCTGTCTTCTTTTACTATATTTGAGGAAATGTTATCCTGTTCAACTGTACACAACAAAACAAACCCACTAAAACAAGTGATGATGCCAATCTAGACCGATGGCTGGTAGTACCATGTGAAAGGTTTGATCTATGATACTAATGGGCCCAATCACAGTCACACTATAATGTCTGTTGCCAGTCATAGCGGGTGGTTACTCGTTGGCATTTGGAGACAGCTCACTACTATGTGCTACACAGAAACTCACTTGACTTTCAGCCTGAATTCATGTAGTATAACGATCTACGACCGTTAGGCTCACTGTGGTCGACCACAGAGTCGCTCCAAAACACCAAACGTTCCTCACAAGGACATATCGTTTCACAAAACCTTTCTTGCATTGAGCTGACCCCCGCCACGCGAGATGCTGTATCATCTATTCGACAGCATCATGGGATAAGAGTGGACATCGAGGTAGTCTACGAGGTGGGGTAGATCTGGACGATCGGAAGGCACAAGGTTGCATGATCTATGCACTGGGGTCAGAAATCACCCTAACACGGTCGACTAGGGTGGGCAGAGCAACAACCTCCCGATCCACCTGCCTTGTTGACAGCAGGGGTGTTGCACATGGGATGAGAAAAGAATAGAGTAACGAGTAATGAAGCGATTCTAAAAGCTCTGCGATATCATCTATCTTGAATACAAACAGAACAGACAGGTAACACATCAGACGTCACCTCCCACTCCTGTATAGGGATCGTGCCATCACACTATTCGTATTTGATACCATTTATAAAAATTTCGCTAGGACATTCAAAATATTAGTTCATGATCCTAAGAAGTAGATTCTACGCTTTAGTCACAATCTACGCTCTATCCTAACGCCTCCATCTCCTGCTTACTTCTTATCATATATCCCCTGAAATGATGATTGGCTGTTGGTATGGCAGCCTTGCGGCTACACGTAGCCAGCTACCCCTCCCTTTTTAACCTCATCATTTCAAGAATTCTACCCTATACTATGGACTGCCCCAGATCAGTCCTTATCTTCGCGGGTAAATCGAGTACTCGAAACGGGGCAATAAATGTTTTGCTGCTTCCTACTATTAAGACATGTAAAAATGACCCTCACACATGATGATTACACGGTCGCCTGGATCTGCGCCTTGCCATTAGAAATGGCGGCGGCGAAGATTATGCTAGATGAGGTCCACCCTTCGCTACCTCAGCCGAAATCAGACCATAATGTCTACACTCTCGGTAGGATTAGCGGTCATAATGTGGTGGTGGCTTGCCTCCCCAGTGGTGTCTATGGGACAATATCTGCCTCAGCCGTTGTGACACACGTGGTTTCCACATTCCCGAACATCCGTTTCGGACTCATGGTTGGCATTGGAGGGGGAGCACCAAGCAAACATGCTGATATTCGCCTTGGTGATATTGTAGTTAGCAAGCCAACTGCCATCGCAAGCGGGGTTGTTCAATATGATTACGGTAAATTACTTAACAATGGACGATTCCAGCATACCGGGTCCCTCAACAAGCCTCCACCAATACTATTAAAGGCGATGTCCCAAGTTGAGAGTGACCACATGACTGGAAAGAATCATTTATCCGCTGTCCTGGCTGAAATACTCCAGAATGAAGATATGAAAGAGCAGTTTTCACAACCGCAAGTTGACTGGTTGTTTCACAACACATATGACCATGTGGGAGAGGAGCCCAACTGTTCCAAATGTGATCAAAATCAATTAGTGGATCGCCCTGAACGGACAACTGAACAGCCGTACATCCACTATGGCTTGATCGCTTCCGGAGATCAGGTCATGAAAGATGCTATAACGCGTGATTTAATTTCACGAGATCTAGATGTTCTCTGTTTCGAGATGGAGGCTGCCGGGCTTATGGACGAAATCCCAACCCTCGTCATACGAGGTATCTGCGACTATTGTGATACTCACAAGCAAAAAGAATGGCAAGGATATGCAGCTCTTACTGCAGCGGCCTACACCAAGGAGTTGTTATCCGTGGTACCGAAGACCTCGCGCAAAATACAGCAGGAACAAGATATTTCAGCATCTTTGGCTACCCCCGGAGACTTGTATTCGTCCGTGATGACAGAATCAGTGGGCGAGGAAGTTCAAGAAGTATGTTTTGCATGCAAATCCGTCAAAATACTTTAGGAAAACATTAGCTAAGAGCTGTTTCTGGCCAGGCGAGGTATCTTCTCAATGAAAATCAGGCGAATGCCGATTTGCTGAGAAATTTATTTTTCGTCTTCAAGAAAACGACAGATCAGTGCAAACATTTTGGGACGAAGAGTGATGACACATCCGACACTTCTCTCTTAGACTCTCCCATGCAGTCTTGTCTTTTGGATCGTCGCTACCCCCTTAGGCTTGAGGACAACTCCACAAAATTCTACCGAACCAGCTCTTTTTGCAAAATCGGCTGTATCTGTGTATGCCATGCTCCTATACGCAAACGTTATGTACCACTAGATGGGTTATTTGGCAGCTTGTCAATTACTCGCTTACGTCATTCAAGGAAAGTCACTTGCACCGAGACCACCTGTTCGCGTCAGTCAGTTGATGTGACTAGAATTTTACTTCAATTGCCGGCTTGGTTAACTAGAACGATGATATATCTGAGCCTTGGTCCCCATCCTTGCGGCAGATCAGATAATTCACTGACAATGCTTCGGATTGTTCCTGATAATGCTGATATTATGCAGTTCACCAAAGTTGGGAATTTAGACCTGGTGCGATCACTTATAGATAGAGGCCTGGCTGCACCTACCGATGTTAATAGCAGCTGGGGCGTGCCTATATTGAGTGTAAGTTATACTTGTAACAGAAAGGAGAGGACTGCGCACATGAATACTGCTAACAGAGAGCAAGTACGCTGTTCAAGGTCTACATACAAATCTTTGCAGGTTTCTGGTGGAAAGAGGTGCAGACCCCTGCATTGAAAATAGATCTAACATGTAAGCTGCCATCTATGGATATTTATTTCTGGAACTGACAAGGTTGTTAGTTCAGCTCTTGACAGGGCGTGGGATATTTTTCTGTCGCGCAGTGCTAAAAATGATATTGTAAATGAACTTCGTTCGATTTTCTCTCTATGGTATGATTCCGTGTGGTTTGAAGAGCAGCAATTCACTTCGCTTCACAAGATTGTTCTCGGCGCAGTGGAGCGCGACATTGAAGACGAGTTAGACTTATCCACATCAAATATCAATGTGAAGGATTCCAAGGGACGTACTCCTATTGCCTGGGCTGCTGCTCGAGGCGATGTCTGCTCCGTCAAGTTACTGCTTCGCTTCGGGGCAGACCCAAACATCAGTTGTGATACGGGAAACAATCCCCTCCTCCGAAGTGTTCGAGCCAAGTCATCAGAATGTGTCAGACTCCTTTTAGAGCATGGAGCCAATGCAAGATCAAAGAGCACTTTAGGCTTTACTGCCTTGCATTATGCAGCATATTATCGGGACGATGAGACTTACATAGAGCCCCTTCTCGAATATGACGCCCCGGTTGAAGAAAAGGATGACTATGGTTGGACGCCTCTGTCATGCACCGCTGAATACGACCATGATCGAAGTGCTAGAGCTTTACTAGATTATGGTGCAAACATCGAGTCCCGAGACAAGCTTGGATGGACGCCATTATTGAGGGCTGTTAACTCAAATAGTCACAAAGTCTGCAGATTACTTCTTGAGAAAGGAGCCAACTATCACGCTATGACATTCCGCTCGGAGACAATTCTTCACCTTGCAGCAGCCAGGGGGGATATTGAGACCATTAGTATACTCGCTGCCACGACTTTGAACGGCTTAAATGCTGATACTAAAAACTTAGATGGCAAAACTGCCGCTGATATAATGAGTTCCAGAGCACCAGTGGACCCTGATGTGGCGGTCACCTTATCCAATCTCTTGAACGGTCTCCGAAATTTCTTATTCAAGTGAAAGGCGCAAGTGTTGTTATAGGGCATTTCCAGAGCATTACTGTTTCCAGAAGATTATTAAAAATCTATTTTGTATCTAAATTTTCCCCGTTTCATTCATAACAAGGTGTGTGGCCAGATTCCTGCTATAAAATCTTTTAGTCGACTTACTGGAAGGGGTATCCTACTTCGCTGCTGGTTAGTTTTGATTGATATAGTCGCAGGCTTCGCACATGCTGCTGAATTATTGCTTGAAACAAATGCCCTGAAAGGAAAGAACAGAGCGAAAGGTTTACCATGCCCGCACATCTGCCAACTTCGCGCACTACATGATAGCATAACTTACATATACTCTAGTACATAGCGCCATCACGTGTACTCATGTGTATTACCTCCGCCCAGTGAAGAATTACTCGATTAGGCAGTTCGTTCTGCGACTCATTGTCTTGCCATGAAGATGGACAAGAATCTCCTTTCTTGGGAGCGGCCAGTCTTTGACAGCTCTTTACCCCTCTAAACAAACTCACCTACACCCGAGCGACGTTCACAGAGAGCTCGAAAACATTCCTAGGCGACCCGAGAACCGTATACGTTTGGAACATACTGACATCCTACGTCACCTGCCTTGCGTGCCCTAGTTAACTAAATAAGTTACTAATCTGGTGCTGATAAAGACAGTGCGGGCCACCACCCGAAGGAGAGGGATAATCAGATGTTCCAACGAATGTTTGGTGCAGCCAGCACTTTGGCCATTTGAGAAGTGGTCAGTAATCCGCTGCTGATCATAATGTGGATCATGACAAGCTAGGAGGATGCAAGTCGGGCGCCATAATGGTCTTTGTCGCACCGTTGACCATAAAAGTTGACCTCGTTCAGCCTCGTTACCCCGGACGCTCCCTTCATTCGGCATTAAAATGTGGGTACATATAGACAATGCTGTGAACTTCCATCCGAGCTTGGTCAGGCAGTCAAACGACAGTACCCTTGGCAATACGAGCTTCATTTTACGCGCTTAGGTTGCCTTGCCTTCAAGGACCACAAACAAGTGCATAGGGCAAGTTAGACGGTAAGTAAATATTATTGGAGGGTTGTTCTCTGTCTATGAGGGGATTGAGTTTTGTCCGTTTCCAATCACGTGACACTCGACTTGTACGTATACATGCTAGAGTAAAAACACCATTCAACTTACCTACAATGCTAATATTGATTGATCTCTTACATCGCCTAACTTTGCCGTTATGAAGCACCAAGACAGGTTCTACTCCGAGGGACAAACGTACCTCGCCCGAGAGAGAACCCTCTGACCGAAGCCCATTGTAATGTTTGGGATTGGGATCGACTGCGGAAGGTCAAGGTGAAAGGCAGCGCCAAGCTGTTTCCACCAGACGAGGATATAGAGATCCTAATCCTGGCACAATTTGCGGATTACTTGTCGCCGGAAGTTCGCACAGTCACAGTTGACGACGATGGACTCCTTGCTGGGGTCTCGACCGATCCGGAAGAGGATGATACCCCCTTTGGTGCATATCTTCCCCTCTCCGTTGCTGGATCTCTCGCTGATTGTCCTAAAATTCAGTACTCTGATCTTCAGGAGCTCGATCGGCTTGGACCAGGGGTCGATCTATCATCATACGAAGATAATTCGGAATTGCTCACAAGGTTGCCTTCAAATTCAACCCATTTGACAAACCTCAGAGACTACAGATGGCGTGGGATGAACTCAATCTTCTCAAAAGCTTGCCACCACATCCCAATATAGTACCATTTGATCGCATTGCACTCGAAGATGTGGAGTCTCGCGTGATTGGATTTCACAACAGAATATATTGCGGGTGGAACCCTCGACAATACAAATGTGCCTTTCCGATTTGAATGGTTGCAACAACTTATTCGCCTTGTGGACTTCCTAAATCGGGAACTGGGTATCATGCATCAAGACATTGCACCGCGTAATCTGCTTATCGATCCTGGCACAAACAATATCCTTCTTTTCGATTTCGATTGGGCTGCATGCGGGAAAAAGCGCTTGCCGGGAGGCCGAGATGACGTGACTGGTGTTGTTTTTACACTCTACGAGCTTATCACGAACGATACACAATTCACGAGTATTCCTCACTGGACCCGAACCATGGACATGGTGCAGGGTATTCAGAATGGCCTTGTACTCGGGAGCTGGACTCTGACGTATCAAAATTCCGCAAATATTTGAATGACTGGGTCGCTTCGCGAAAATTGGACGGGGGCTTGGAACGATATCTCAACGCCCCCAACCAGCTTACCTGGCCGGATCTACCAACCGCACCGGACTACCAAGTACCTTTCGAATTGGGTAGGAATGCAGATGGAGAGCCGATCTGGGCAACGGGCCCGCGATTTAGATGCACTGCAATGGAGAAAGGACAGTACTGTTTCCTCTGGGAGAGACAGCCACAAAATAAATCTTTTGAACCAGGCCAAAAGTGGCAGGCACTAGCCGAAGTATAAAATATAACGTTTAAGATCAAATCTCAAGAATGACGACATATTCCCTTCCAGGAACAGGAAAGCCAGTTCAACTCCACGAATATTTTACGGTCAACCTTTCTGTCTCCAAGCGAGGATTCTCTTTAATTGGCTTGGCTTAGTTAATGGGGCCGGTGAACGGAAGTGGTGGTGGGACTTCATCTTGCAGCGGACACCCTCCAGATTCGGATCCAACATCGTCAACATCTTGAAGAATTCGCTTTTTTTCCTAGTGTGGGGTGAATTTCAGCAGCATGTGGAATAGCCAATGGGTATCAGCTTGTCAGTGCGCAGTGCATATCGGGAAACTTTAAATCACCGTCACCGCAAATCGAATTGAGGAATGGCAAGCTCACATAGCAAGGTAGACTAAACTACGTAAATTTACGCACACAGTGCCGTTTCTAGAGGTGGCTGGCTGGACGGAGTACTCCGTACACTACCAGAACTGAAGCGCTGCAAGCAGCGCCTGGTCACGCTGTCCGCAGCCTGCATGATGTGTTGGCGTTGATATACCCCGCCTCGATCGTCTACTACTATTTAACTCAGTACCCTAGGTCGTATCTTCCTGAATCCTACATCATCCCCAGTTCCATTTTATCTTTCTACTACCAAAGACTTTGCCCTATAGACCTATAATCACAAAACACAATGGCAAGTGTCATCTACCCGACTTATCCCTCTCCGAGCCTATACACTGACATCGCACAGTCTTCAGGTGTAGGAGTAAACAGCGAATGCACGGAGCAGTACCAAGCGTTGAAGCTCAAGAAGTCATTCAAATATATCATCTACGGACTGAATTCTAGCAATACCGAGATCACCGTTCTGAAAACCTCACCTTCGGACAGCTATGACGACTTCATTGCTGATCTACCGGAAACCGAGTGCAGATGGGTAGTGTACGATTTGGAGTACGAGACAGAGGGAAACCACAAGGCGAATAAGGTAGTCTTTATCTCATGGTACGCTCTTCGAAACCCATCAGCAACCTTTGCATGGTGCATGTGACTAATTCTCTTTATAGGTCACCGGAATATGCAAAGATCAAGCAGAAGATGCTATATGCCTCGGCCGGAGATGCACTCCGCAGAGAACTAAGTGGCATAGCAGCTCAGATATCTGCCACAGAATACAATGAGGTTGCCTATGAAGCTGGTACTGTACCCGTCGCCTATCACTCCTACCAAATTGGCTGCCTCAGGTCCGGTAAGCTAACTCGTGGCACGATTAGTTGTCGATAAAGCAAGCAGGGGAGGAAGGTAGCAAGGGAGAACTTGGAACATCAGCCTTCTCGCACCCGCCCTAGGGTTTGCTGCGATGGATAGGTCTATTCCTGCAGATCTCTTGATATATTTGCATGCTCAAGTGATACATCGTTTTCTATCTTGGATTTATTTTCACTTAGAGTGTTTGCTTCAGTATGAATATTATCCCTCTATTTGATTAACCTTCTGTAAGGTTCGCAGTAGTAGTGGTCCTTCGGTGATATCCCCACCCCAACTTCCTGAACTCCTCCCCATGTAACCACAGCAAAGTAAACAGCGGCAAAAGATCAACGACAGGAACGCAAGGAGGGAGTTCCCCCAGCCCAAGCCGAGTGAGTGATTCGACAACGGGCCAGCGAGGGGAAAGAAAGCCCCGAAGAGCGCACACAAGGTGGCATTCGCCGACAGGGCGGAGGCAGAGACGCCCTGCTCGTCGAACGCGTCGACGAGGTAGTTTTCCGTGGGCAGCTTGGTGAGAAGCATACTAAACCCGATGATGCCGGTGCCGATGAGGGGCACGATCCAGTGGACGTGTTTGTTAGCTGACCAGCCATACAGTAACAGGCCGATGGGCAGCATAGCCGTGCCAAAAATCATCAGCGGGAGGCGATGTTCCGGCTTCGACTCGCCTTTCATCGCGCGCCGGTGTTTCACGTAGCGGTCGGAAACCAGACCGTACACGCAGAGTCCGACTATGTTGCCGATTGCTGGACCGGGGATGGTTAGTGAGAGTGGTTTCAGTGAGAGAGTGGGAATAGGTCGGATATACCTCGGCCGAGGAAGGTGATGCCGACTGGGCCCTCGCCGAAACCATACGTTTTCTGCATGATCTCCGCCAGAGTCGTCAGAATCAGGTAGGAGATCCCGTACGTCAGCGCCGTGTAAAGGGACGTGACTAGCACCACCGGGGAAGAGAAAAGTATCAGCGCCGGGCGGATAATAGATTTCAGGACTGTGTCACGGGGTGCAGAAGGGTGGCTGCTTGACGATGGAATATTGTGATTCCCATCACCACGATCTTGTTTCTTTTCTGTCGACTTTCGCGATTGTTGCTGGATTTTGAACCGGTAGGTTTCCTTGAATACCGCTAGTGACAATAGCGATACACTGCCGACAGTTATCGCCATAATCCAGATGGTCCATCGCCAGCCAAGGGCGCTGTTGACGAACCCACCAACAATCGGGGCCACGCAGGGCCCGATTAGAGGAAGAGCGATGGCCACCGCCATTGCGGCGCCTCTCTCCTCCTGGACAAATAGGTCTCCAATAATGCTCGGAGCAAGGGTAAGGGAGGTGACGGCCATACCATTAATGAAACGGAAGGCCACCAGCATGGACGCATTCTGACTCAGTGCGGCCGCAACAGAGCGAAGGATAAAGAGGATGTTACCACCATGGTAGACGACGTTCCGCCCGTACAGCTCTGACAACGGCCCGACTACAAATGATCCTACACCTTCGCCCAGCTCCCAGATGGAGACGATCAAGGGCTGATAAAGATTCCCGGAGACTTGAAAATGCGACAGGATTAGTGGTACAGCTGGAACGATGATGACAGTCCCGAAGTTACTATACCACGGATGAGTATCGGATACGGCCGAGCAGCCAGCTTTGATAAGATGTACTCACGCCAACATGTACATCACAGCGACGCAGCTCACTATTGACCACTTCCGCCAATGAGGCCAACTTGTGGGATCCTCGGTCCTCTCTAGGTACTGAAAACAATCATGGTCGTTCTGTTGCTCAGGCCGGTGAGGAGATGAACCGTTACCCGCATCGCATGTTGTTATTTCCAAGTCATCGTCCTTCATGATCCGGGTAGTACGTTGACGTCTTGAACGTGATAGAAAGATCTGATCGGGGAGACAACGGCAGCTCTACTTTGTACACTGAAGCGGGGTTTGTGTCAGGAGTTGGGGTGACTGAGAGATGCATTTTACAAGTCAGGAACTAGGTGGGCTTATCACGACCAAACCCCGAACCTTGTATGGAGCAAGATAGTCGATACGTAGCGGGAAAGCCGTGATCATTATATGAAAAGGAACAAAGAAGAGAGCAGGGTAGTACAAGATTCTACCAATCGCTACCTGGATTCCGTCCAGGATTGATAACCATCCTTGTCTAGCGGGCGTAAGCGTGGGATTCAAGCTGAGCCGGGGCGCTTCGCCACCACCACCACCCGAGGGATGGACAATGCTGCCCCGTCAACACACTCCTGGTACCCAGCCTGAATGAGTTTTAAAAAGCTTGCAGCAGCCTCGGCCTGACCATTTCCCATCAGCTTAGACCCAAACTCCTCCATGGTCAACAAATGTTGGTCGTTGAATGCCCGGACCAACTCCGGGCCCTCATCGTAGTAGTCTAGTTTCGCATCCTCGAACCCTGCCTCGTTGAGCAGACGCGGCAAGTCCAACACCCAATCATGCCGCCCATTGGCATAGGAGGCAACACGGATTTCCTCGAGTGCAGGCGCCTGTACCGACGGGCTCACCTTCTTGATCCGCATGTTCACACAGTCCAGCTCATCCCACTGGATGTAGCCTCCAGGTTTCACCAACTGGAACAACCGCCGGATGACAGGCATTGGGTCTACGCCAGAGAGCACCAACACAAGCAGTCGGACGTGTACGAGATCATACTGACTCTGGAGACTCGCGGGTATGTCCGCAAAGACATCCCAATGTCTCAGGGTAATATTGGAGGGCAGCCATCCAGGGTGGGGAGCTTGAGTGAGATCGATATCTAGTCCATCCAGCCGGCTTTTAGGAAAGTCGCGGGATACGTCAATCAACCACAAAGCAGTACCTGTAGCAATGTCGGCAATGGCAGGACGAGAAGAGGAGTCGGTGGAACTGTCCGAAGATGGAAATTGAACCGACGGATGCATGTGGAAGCCAAAGACTTCACGCCAGAGAAAGTGTTGCAAGTTTAGACGGATAACAGAGCGGTGGCTCTGTTGCAGGGCGTATCCAAGGCCATCGGCAAGACGAAAGCTGGCCGGGGTGGAGGGCGACGAGCTTGGACCATGCATGCTGGCGAGAATGGATGGGGATAAGGAAGGCTCCCAAGGATAGGTGTGGTAGTCATGATCCGGGAAAACAGTAGCGATGGATCATGAGTCCACTATATAGCCATCAGAACAAAGGGAATCATCGTTGGACTGTGCGGCAGTTAGACTGGGAGGGGTCACCAATGTAAGTAAAACAAAGAAAGAGTGAAGCAATACGCACCTGAATGGCTGGGAGGTAATTCTGGAGGACCCTCCATAAGCCCTAAGTCGCGCATCTAAGGCTTAGCTGTGCTTGGCAGGATTAGCAGCATTTGCTAAGGGTCACCATATTGAAGTCAATCGGAGGGCCCGTCAAACTGAACGATGCTGCTGTCAAAATGCAACCCACAATGCTTGGTTTAAGTCAAACGTTCATTATAGATAGAGCATCTTTGTTCTGTGCGAAGCGCTGGATAGAACCGTATTAATATTTGTCGCTTTTAGCTAACTCGCACATGACAAAACCCATAAAAGTTACGGGAGGGCCGTGTTGGCAAGGAAAAAGAGTACGCGATGATGACTATACAAGGATCATATTGCGAATTCGATCCGCCTTTCCTGTTTAGGCGACAGCTGTCTTGTGTGTGATATAACAGAAATTATTAAAGTAATGCCAATTCTTCCAATTTCCCCGGACAGAGAGCACGGAAGAAAACCGTCTATCTTGTTAAAAAATGGCCTCCCAAAAGCAACGAACCCCACCCCAACCACCCCCGACCTTCACAGCAAACCCAGCCACAATCATACAGGATACCAAGTTTCTGATTGAGCGTGCCCGCGAAAGCCAGAGCCAGATCAAAAGGAACATACAGCCCAACACCGCAACATTCAACAACGTTATTCTACCCCTGGCTCACATCGACAATGCTCTGGCTTCGAAGTCCCATATCCTTGTTTTCTATAGGGCCGTATCGACCAACCCCGAACTGCGGAATGCGTCCATCGAGGCCCGGAACCTGCTGGACTGCTACAATGTCGAGACGACGATGGATGACGGTTTGTTTGCGCTGGTTGACGCGGTCTTTCACAAGGACGAAGAGTTAGAGCCAGAATCCTATCGCCTGTTGAAGAAGTTGTACATGGGTTACGTTCGGCATGGGCTGGGATTGTCGGCCGGCTACCCGAGGGATCGATTTCGGGAAATTCAGTCGCGGCTTAGTTGGATTAAGGCTGAGTTTCAGAGAAATTTGGTCGAGGCGAATAGTGCGGGTATCTGGTTTACGGTTGAAGAGTTGGATGGATTGCCGGAGGACTTTCTATCTGGGTTGATGAGAGGGAAACTAGGAGAGGTCAATGAGGACAAGGTCCGAGTGACGTTTAATGATCCAGATCTCTTTAAAACACTGAGCTACGCGAGGAACAGCAACACACGGAGACGTATCTACATCGCCAATGAGAATAAGTGTACACAGAATGTGTCCCTGTTTAGGGAGGCTGTCCTGCTTCGTGATGAAGCGGCTCGTTTGCTTGGATATCCCAGTCATGCTGCTTTGCAGATTGAAGATAAAATGGCGAAGTGTCCGGAGACTGTGAATGCCTTTCTCGGTGACTTACAAACTCGATTGAGTGAGAATGGTCAGAGAGAAGTCGAAAAGCTAAAGCGGCTTAAGAGGGCCGACCTTGAGTCCCGAGGAGAATCATTTGATGGTCGGTATTTTCTGTGGGATCATCAATACTATCATCGAATGATGTTGGAGAAGCAGTACTCGGTGCACCAACAGAAGATTGCGGAATATTTCCCTTTTCTAAGCACTATCGCGGGTATGCTGAAGGTCTGCGAGACGTTATTTGGTCTTTTTTTCAGCGAACTTAGCAAAAGCGAGATCACGAAGCTAACTGGTCCCGGAGACGCACCTGTCTGGCATGAAGACGTACAGGTCTTTAGTGTCTGGAACAGTGACGAGGACGGTGGCTTTGTCGGGTATCTCTATATGGATCTTTTCCTTCGGGAAGGTAAATACGCAAATGCAGCCAATTTCAACCTGATACCCGTCTGTTACAATCCTTACATCTTCCTATATGCCAATACTGATTCCCCTTAGGGCTTTATCCAAGAAAGCGGTACACGCCAATATCCTGCCACAGCATTGGTGTGCAACTTCTCCAAGCCTAACTCTGAAGCCCCCTGTCTTATGAAGCATGACGAACTTGTTACATTATTCCACGAGCTGGGCCATGCAATCCACGATCTTGTGTCGAAGACAACTTACTCGCATTTTCACGGTACAGAGACAGAAGTCGACTTTGGTGAAGCCCCTAGTCAGATGCTGGAGAACTGGTGCTGGACTCCATCAGTACTGCGGTTATTAAGCAGACACTATTCGTACCTTTCCTCGGAGTATTTTGCCTATTGGAAAGAGCGAGTAGATAGGGAACCTCAGCCTCAGGAGCAAATGCCTGACACGATGATCGAGAGCATCCTCCGAGCCAAACACGTAAACGGCGCACTGTTTCATTTGCGTCAGTTGCATTTTGCTATCTTTGATATGGTAGTCCACGAGCCTGACGATCACAACGCGATCAAGGAATTAGACATCTCGGCGAAATATAATAATCTCCTGGCTAGGATTCTGCCCATGGATGGCCCAGAGGGTGGCGGCTGGGGCTATGGTCAAACACGTTTTCAACACTTGCTGGGGGAGTATGATGCAGGGTACTACAGTTATTTGTTGTGAGATTCATTCTTTTAACCAGAGAATTGACTTGATTACTAAAGGTGATGATACAGCTCGAAGGTCTATGCGACAGATATGTTCTATACCGTGTTCAAACCGGACCCAATGAACTATCGAGAGGGTCGGAGATACCGATATACTGTCCTTGAGAAGGGAGGGAGCCTAGATGGAGTGAAGATTTTAACTGACCTGTTGGGGCGCGAACCCCAAAAAGATGCTTTTTACCAGGAGCTTTGTCAAAATTGACTATTAGTAGAGATATTATAGTGATGTCATGAGAAAGCCGCGCCTATCGCTCGAGCTTCAAGTAGGGAGCTCGCAGCAAAGAACGAAGCCAGGTATTGGGGTGAGGAAACACGCTACAATAAGAGCGATTAGATATGCAATCAAGCATATCATAAGTAGTTGAGTAGCTATCATAGAAAGAATATCAAGGGAACAACAAAGGTCATCAATACAAGTCATGGCTGGAAGCGTACATCAACATCAACATCAACTACAACAGCATAAGAACATGTCACATTAAGCTCACGCAGAAGATACAGGATCGAGACAACGACAATGGGGTATACCTCTCTCTGCCACAACTCATTTCTTCCAACTGACAACAGAGAACCAAACAGACGAAGAAACAAGAAGCTTCCAGAAAAAGATGTTACAAACGCTTAGGGCATCAAGACATCAAACAGCAACATCAACATCACAACATAGTACCGTAACATAAAAAACATCAATCATGCAGGTCGTCAGAATCATACAATCATGTCGCCATGATGGACGTGATCGGTCAGAGCCTCAAACCCGCCCTTCTCTTTATAATTTATACCCGAACAAGTCAAACCAAAGCAAGAAAATCCGAACCCAGAATGCCTCCCATAACCAAAATCTTTTCAGCAACGAATCATCGAACTTTTCCGCGCGTTATCGCATCGTGTCTTTTTTATGTTTTTCCTTTTCTTTGGTGCGAGGAAAGGCGGCCAACCCAGAAACGAGAAATGACAAACTTTTTGGCAAACGACGTCTTTATCCAGAGCACTCAGATGGGAACTCGGTAAATGTAAAATCAAATCGCACAAGCAAGCACGGAAATGAAACATAGTACCCGGTGAGAGGCAAGCTAGTATCGACCGCTGTAGGTCGACCGACTCGACCGCCGACTGGCGCGGTCGGACCGTCGGTCGGGACGTGCCCGCCGGGGGTCCTCTAGCTGTCTCTGGGACATGCTTCCCGTATAGTCAGAACCATTCGTCAGGTACTTCTTTGGTCGTTTCCCTTCGATGTTCAGTTCGACTGCACCCGCGTCGCCTGTTCGGAGACTGATTTTCTTTCCGCCAACAGACTCTTGTGTAAAGCTCATCGTAACACCATTCATCGTCATGACAATATTGTTGTCTTCCTCCGCCTTGGCCCCACTACCGCTACCATTTTGGGTCCGTGCGTCGCTACCACGGCTGCTATTTGAACGGCTCTTCTGACTGCCGCTGTCACTCTCCGCCCGAGACGCCTTAGATTTATACAGGGCATCCTCCGTCAACGGTGTTGGCACTACCTTGCCGGAACGAGATGCCTGGTACTCCTCGGCCGATCGTTGTTTCACCTCAATCTCGTCACCGTCGTCCTCCTCGTCCTCTTCATCATCGTCACCATCATCGTACTCATAGACGGTAGGCCGTCGGCGACGGGAGTTCTCGACCGCCACCCGTGATGGTCGCGAAGATTCATGATAGGCTGCGGGGCGTCGACTGTCTCGAATGCTGCGTGTTCGCGCTGGAATCACGGTCTCCCGGGATGACCGTCGATATCCATATTCTGGCAAGGCATCTCTCATTTCGGACAGGTCCATCGAGCGTGATGGGTGTCGATCGGACGTGACCGATGGCGCAGTCACAGCTTTTCGGTGGAGTTCTGGTCGTTTCTGAATAACGTGCGGCGCGGGCTTGTGCTTGACGGGTGGGGGCGGCATCCGGTAATAGTCTTCATCCCGGTCATGGGAAGAATGGGATGGAAGCCGTGGTCGAGGTGCACGAGGCGGCGGGAGATCAAGGGATTCATCATCCTCATACGCAGAGGGCGGATCATAGTCAACGACGGGTGGCCCGTAAGTGGATCCGCGCCGTGGCCTGCCTTGGTCCCGCGTCCTGGAGGCCGACCGTTCTTGGCGATCGGGCGGACCATAGTCGGACATGGCGGCAAAATACGGGGACGGTTGACCGTAGGGAGATGGAGCATAGGCCGGCGGATTGGTGTAGGCAGAAGAGGATGGAGGGGGTCCATGTTCGTAGCGACCCATATGGCTGGGAGGATACATAACTCCGCCGCCCATCCCAGGAACCATACCATGAAAGCTCACCGGTCGGTTGTTGTTCGTGTGATAAGAGTACGAGCGACCGCTACGAGGCCGGCTGCTGTGGGATACATGGACATCCTGGACGGCGGAAGGGGCATACCGCGGCCCCTGCGGTGACGGAGGGGGGTAGTCGTGGACAGACGACGTGGTAGATGGCGACATATAATATGGGTATTCGATGGCTCGCGGTTCAACGGGGGTCGACCCATGATACAAGCCCTGATCGCACTCCCAACAGGTGCCAGGGAAGTGCCGCATCTGGGAATTTTCCCGTCTGCGGGACCGCGATGGCGACCGCTGCATGGAGGCGTGGTGATGGCTCACAGCAGGATAGGTGCCAACTTGCATTTTCTCGTCCCAAGAAGGGCGAGTAGGTCGTTCTTTTGGACGGTCTTTGCGGTGGGAGCGAACACGTTCGAGGTCGGCCCTCTTGGGCGTTGTGTCAATTTTAAGAGGGACAGGGTCTTTCCGGCCCGACGGGCCAGATTGGGTGCTGTTCACGGTGGCGGCAGTGCGGCTAGAGTAGCCAGAATCGCTTGCGATATCAACTAGGCTTCGCCAGCTGATCTCAGGTCCAGTTTCGAACGTTTGGCAGCGAGGTTGGCGACTTGACGGGTCTCCGGGATGATAACATGAGCGTCCTCGTCGTATTCCTCACAGAAAGCAGCATGAGGAACTTTTCCAGTCATGACTCCTGGACGGCCAAGGCCCAGGTTGGGACCCTAAAGGGGGGTGAGGGGGGAAGGGGGGCTGGTTTGGGAAAGGTGCAGTGTGGATGACGTGAAACGTGGTGATCCAACAGGGCTTCGCTTGTAGATTAGGTACAGCAGCCACCAGTGCTGCTGCTCATCCGAATGACTCAATAATATTTTTAGTCGCTTCCACCTCTGCTCTTTTTCTTTTCTTTCCCTTTTTTTTTTTCGTTTGTGTGTGTGTTCTTGTTGGGTACCTGTTCAGTCACTTCTTTCTTTTGCTCCTATCGTTTTTCTCGGTCCCTCTCTTCCCTGCGGTACTTCTCCCTCCCCGGTTAGGTCGCTCTACCGGTAACCCACTCTCTCTGTGATAGTCTCAGAGATGGAGCAGAGCCTGCAGATCAATCAAGTAATTGTTCGATGGCGCCGCGTCTAGATTGCTGTATGTCAACGATGAGCAGTGGGTGCAATGTGGCAGTCGTCCTTTGCATGCAATGTATCCATCGAAAAAAAAAAGACAAGGAAAAAAAAGAAAACCACTAAAAAGCGTCGGTCGTAAGCTAATTTGGCAGGAACACTGTGATCGTGGAAAAGGCGGCAGTCGGTTGGAGAGTGGATGAAGACGGCGTGCGTGGGTCAAAGAATGGAAAAAGAGAGGAAGAGCGAAGAGGAGTCAGAGAGGAGAAAAGCGCGCTGCAGCGTCGCTCTGGCAGACGGTGAGTGGAGGACTGAGAGACGAGAAGCCGACGGGGCTGCAGTACGTAAATGCAGAAGAGGAAAGAAGTGTCACCGGCGAGGGTCTGGTTGGTGAAGGATGAAAGACAATGAATGATGAATGGAGGAGTGCTTCTGCGCCTGACGAAGGGCACAACAAGGTGGGGTTAATAGTGGGGATTGGGTGATAAAAACGACAGACAAACCAGGCTGGAAGGAAAATTTTAAATCTGGAAGCAGAGAAAAACAGTACTCAGGAAAAGAAAACAACTCAGAGAGACGACCCAATCCAGATACAGTATTGGATTCAGAATCAATCAATCAATCAACACTACAATGGAACAGACGAACGGACCGATAGGAACAGAAGCAACGAGTAGAGGAAGAAAAAGGGTGGGCGATCGACACATGAAAAGGGACGAAAGGCGATGGTTTTAAGTTCGGGGGTCGTGACCACCGGAAGAAATTGTAAAGAAATTCAAAATTCAAATCACATAAAAAGAGCGATTCAACATCAAGTTTCTTCCTGGGTCGGAATCTCTGTGAGGCAAATTGTGATCATTACAGATCTTGCCTCCCTGGTGTTTAGATCAGAATATTCATCTTTATTTATCCTTTTTCTATTCAATTTGATCTATATTTTCTATTTCTTTTGATCAAAAATCGATTGATCTGGCAAAGATTGAGAAAACCGATCAATGAATCCACAGTCTAAGCAACAAGAATAATAATAACAACAATCATAATAAATTAAGATTAGTATCTGTAGGGTGAGACTTTCTAATGAACTGTTGAGCAAATGGAAGAAGAAAGAAAGTCGGAACGGAAAGTGGAGGGAGTGGAGACAGCCTCCAAATCCACTGGTGCGATTGATGCCTGATCGACTTTTTGCTGATTTATTACCCGTTCTGATGGGCGAAGTCGACATACATACATACATACCCGTGACCGGTATGTATGTATATAGTACCCTGACCGATGGCATGGACGAGTACTAGTACTTAGTATTAAATCCACAGGTCCCGAATTGTTCCAGCAAAGTCAAAGCAAGTCAGGATTCATCCTTACTTTCATGTCGAGTATTCTTCTCTTCAACGCCACTTTAACAATACCAAACAGTCGTACAGACGACCTGCAGATTCGTCCCCGTTCATCCATTGACGTATTAAAAAGGTCGGATTTGAACACAGCAGGAGATCGGGATGTTACATATCATCTAATAATAACTCAATGGTTTTGGATATGACAGATATTGGTCTACCGCAGTTTCCTTTCTTTTCTTGTTGGTTTTCTGGTTGTTGTCAGGCCCAGCCCATATACTACCGTTCTGACTAGGAACCGTGGTTCTCAACGGAGCCAATCCACGGAAGTGGGACAAAGATAACCGTCTTTGAATTGAAGTATATACCGACGACTAGTGTTACCTTCAGATACCTAATACTCTTCTTCCACCTCTCTTATTTTCAATCCGTTTCCCTATGGCCCATTCAATGTACTATCGAACACACGGGTAAGCCTATTGCCACCATGACTCCTACGATTATATATGTAGAACCTCACCTCAGCCGGTACGATAATTTCACTCCGCAATCGCTGCCCAAGACCTCGGAAGCTGCAGAAGATCGCAGCCCAATCACAATGTATCGCCTCCACTGAGGCATATTTCGTAGAGAAAAATTGGTATTTAATAAAAAAAAAAAAACCATTTCCTACTCTATCCGGAGTATTGTCAACGCAAAATGTCGCAACTGGAGGGGCAGAATCTGCAGAGTCAGCAGTAGGTTTCTCACGGTCCATCATTTTGCATTTGGATCATACGGAGTAGCGTTCCTTGATTGGCATAAACCCCACTTATTATTTATTTCCAGGCAATATATACTCAGTATCACATTTTCTTCCAGTCATCTACCCGTCAGGCCTTCAGTGGAGCGTTCGGTGTATCAACGGCATGGAAGCGCGCTAGAAAATTATCCTCGACAAATGTCGATCCGAATTCACGGGTGCTTGGTTAAATACGAGCAAACTGTTAGATCTTTGTTTCAAGACTTGACAAATAGCCGTTTGCCTCGGATGACTCTCGCCCGATACTTCTATTGTTTCTGCGATTCAGTCAAGAGTTCTCTACAGGGGATGCTGGAAATCTCGGGGCACACGACCACAGCATCGTATTTAGCGATGACGTCTGACTGTGAGCGGTTCAGATAATAAGGCTTTTGGGCACTAAACGGCTTCACTTGTCACATTCTATCACATTCATGGGCTCGGGCTGGAGACCTTCGAATAACAATCGTTATTCTACAGGGTCGACCTTGATAATGAGTCATCTGACTAGAAGTAAGGGATGGATGTACTCTGGCAGTCAGCTACATGAGTCCCATGCAGCCAGTGGCTTAGTTTCCCGTCCGCATGAGATTTGCTGTCACGATCGCAGAGTATGGAACACATTGCAGTACATTTACAATGACTGGCTAAGATACGCATTTCAAATCAGCCGACTATCCTGGCTCATTTCACAGCTGAGGCTGAGTGGATCTAACCTTATCCCAAGCTTTGCGTCATGCTGTCTCCTTGAAAGCCGTCCCCTTACCGATTGGCTCAAGAAACGCAGTGCATCGGGACCAGGGTGTTGCTTTTCGACCAGGCAGCGCTTCCATTCAGCAGCGGAACCGATGGATTTGGTCACTGCGAGTTGCTTTATGAGTTGCACGATGCCAAGAAATCGTTACTCACTATCATGATAGATGATGCTGGTATTGATGCCCAATGTCCGAGAAGGTTGTAGTACCTCCCGTAGCTTGTTTACCATTAACTATACACAAGGAGCTGTTCAATGATATCACTGTGCCGTTGTAGTCACTCAAAGCCATCCGCAGGTTCGGCGCGGCGTTGGACGCGGGGCCCGAAACTCGCAGTTTCTCGATTGTACGTGCACCTTGGCGCCTCCGATAGCGGTTGCGGGAAGATATCCATCCTCTGGTCTGGTAAAATTGTTAGAAAACGAAGATTCTAGAGGTCTTTGGTTGACTTCCCTTGAGATCAACAATAGGTGGTGTCTTGTCTCGATAAGGACCGATAAGATAAGCAACGCTGACTCAGCAAGTTGCCGGTCCAACGCGATCACCCAAACAAAAGAAAAGCGTCATTCCCCAGCCTCTCGATTTACTCCAACCACCGCAATTTCGGGCGGCGATCGAACTGTTTCTGCTTCCTAAGTCCTCAATATCTACAACTCTCCATTCTTGCATACTAATCAAGAATCAAGCGTCTATTGACACGAGAAGCAAATAGTCTACGAATACCTTCCAACATACCGCCTATCTACGATCCCGATCGAGCCTAATCTACGATAGTGGACCGCAACCGCCAGACGAAGAATTCCGACCATTCGTACACTCGCCAGCGGGTGGTATATCCACATTCCTGTGCAATCTGGAATGTCATATTACCTCATCGGACATACCAACTGACTGCATCAGAGTTCCGTCTTGAGCTACGTGCTCTTGACTACTCTCTTCGCCCAACATGCCTCCAGTTATACAAGTGGGGAACGACTTCCCCAGCATTCCGACTCCCGACAACAATGACGTGCTCAGAGAAATTCAGCCGTCACCAGAGGTCGAAGCCCTCACTGAACGATCGGTGACAGCGTCACTCGCGGAAAAGCCCCATTCCCTCGTAGCACGAGATGGGTCATCGAAGTACATCCCAGGTGATGGCGCGGTAGACCCGCATAAGATCAACATGCAGGGCCTGCTGGCGCTTTTTGCCCTCATAGGAGCTGCGTTCGTTCTCGCTGCCATCTGGTTCTTCTTCTGGGCCAAGAACGGTGGATTCATCTGGCGAAAGGGAGACTGGGAAGACTACAAGTCGACAGTTCTACGACGCAAGGGACCCGACGGCGAAACCCTAAGTAATGCGACAAAGAGTACCAAGCTGGGGGGCGGCAGTGTCGTCGGCAAGCGCTACGATGACGACGGCTACACGGTCTCAGGATACACCGACACAGCGACAGAAATAACAGAGAAAGACGGACCCAGGCGCAAGCGCGGACTTAAAGAGAAACTCCTTGGACGACATAAGAACGAGCGATATGAGAACGAGGCGGATGAAGACATGCGCGCGTACCGTAAAGAGAAGCCTGCCCGAATCGGCGGCATCAATGCCGAGGCCGACGGCACCTACTACGGCAGTGACTACGACACTTCCAATCCACCCAGCTACTACCAGCAGAGCGAGATGAGCCAGGTTCGCGATTACGCCTACGAGCCGAGCCGTCACAAGAGCACGCGACGTGATTTCTCTTTCACCCCAGGCACCGAAGAGGCCCTGAGTCAGCCTCCAACAGAGCATCACCGCACCCGCGAACCCTCTACTCGCCGCCACAATCGTCGTCGCGAAAGACGTCACCATGCACCTCCGACATCGTCCTCGCGCCAGAGCAGTCCCCGCAAGCGTGAGAAACGGTCCGTGCCAGGTCATTACACCGAGCCACTTGACTTTTCGTCTGCCCCCTCGCGCTCCGAATACCAGTACTCGAACGTTGATACAGAGGATACTGGAACCAGGAGCTACCACCACCCGATCCCAGGATTGAGCAAGGGATACCGCCGTGATGGAGGACGGAGCCGTCGCCGCGACAGTCTTAGTGACAGTGACGGCGATGAAACTCGATACTCGTGAGATCTGCAGTCTTCTTACCCACAGAACTTTCACGATAATCTCTATTGGTAAATGTAAATAGTATGCTTTTTTCTTTTATTTTGAACTTTCTTTCAAACAACACGACAAGCGCATGGAATATGAATGGAATGGACACAAACACAAGAGTATCGGGATCACAGTCTATTATATTATGAATGGTATGGGTATGGATATGGTCATGGTTAATGGAACTCAATCAATGAAATAAATGTGTCAATGCAATATAGTTCACCAAGAACATTTGTTTAGGTTTATATACGATTATACCTATTTTACTATCTTGAACTCTTGAGGAAGATCCATGGTTATAATCTTGGAAGTATCTTCAAGGACAATAGATGCCTGACTCATAATTTGATAGTAGATAGAATGATTGTGGTGGGTTTAACCTTGCAAATGCCAAAGGAATTTAAAGAATAGAAAAGAGATGGCCGAATGCACTAAAATAAATGAAAACTCCCATCGGTAATTCAACAAACGCCAACAATCCCAATTTACCAAGTTATAGTACAATGTGTACACAGCCCGAAATCAGCGCGAATAACGATCTGAGATGATAACAGGTTCGAAGTGAACCCAGGATCAGATGGCGAGAACGGAGTCAGAAACGTCAACTGGGACAAATGAGAAATCAAACCACATAATGTAAAGTCACAAAGAAAGAAAAAGAAAGAGGGGGAGGGAGCGAGGGAGTAAGTTCGTCTGGATGGCTGTGTCATACGAGATGCTCTTCTGCCGGTTCAGTGTCAAAGAAACTCCTCAAATCGAATGGCTCCCGGAAACTGTATCCCTAACACTTCCAGGCTCCTGAACGCTCATATCACTAGTGATTGGTGGCGGCGGGGGAGATACAGTGGCCTCGTCCTCAAACCATTGGTTCAATGACAACTGACTGACCTTTTGCTCATCGTACCCCTGATCACATAGGCTTTTGATCTCGGGTAAGGACTTGAGTTGGCCAATCTCAACGCTTGATTGTCGAAGCCGGTGAAGGAGCCATTTGTTGACGAATTTATTCTGACTGACGTTCTCCTCGATAGGGTCGAAAGGAGACATATCCTCTTCTACAGAGGCCTTCAGAGGATCCTCCGGCTGGTTGGGAGGAGCAGCTGGATAAAGCTCATATACGAAGTCACGGCCCCGGATGCACTCTTGTGTCAAATGTCCTTTTTCGAAGCAAACTGTCCGCAGCTGATTCATATTCTGTTGCATATGGAATAATTCGTCGCAGATCTCTCTCCTTTCTGCTTCATAGGAGCGAAGAAACTCCATAGACTCATCGTCCATGGGGATATTCAAGGACTCTCGTTCCTCTTTCTTCTCCTGGATAAACAACCACTCCCTGTCCAGTTCACTCAATCGCTCTTGAATCATGCGGACGTCGGTTACACAGGATATATAGTCCACCACATCAGAAGGATCCTCTGAGGTTGAACTGGTAGTTGATCTCACGTCACTAAAACCATCGTGATCACTTAGGGGCGGCTCATTGGGCGTCGGAAGAGAATGATGACCATGCGATAAACGGGCAAAGTCTTCCATAGCTGTAGTAAGCGTGTACTCGTCCCGCTCCAGCTCGCTTTCAGCGTTATTATATTCTGCTTCCATGTCCGAGTATATACCAGTGGCGTCAAGAAGAGCTTCATTGTTCTGAAGCAATGACTGAATGCTTGTCGGAGTACCTTGAGCCACGGTAACATGTCTGATAAACTGCGCTCTGATATCGGCTTCTTCCTCCCTCTTGAATCTTAGTGCCGTGCGTCGCTCTTGTACCTCGGATCTTTTAAGGGCAACCTTATTCTGCAGGGCTAATAATTTATTGTTGGCGCTCAATATCTTAGCAATGTGCGCAGTATCGGGTCCATCTGGCACAGTCTGGTGTTCCTGTGGGTCTTTAGATCTGCCCAGAAGTGAAATACCAGCATTGGCGCCCTTACTAGTTTCATTTTCAGACGGATTCAAGGGGGAATTGATATCGGGTGAGCCCTCATGGGGATGGGACAGGGATTCCTTAACTTCAACATAACAGCTGGCAGAGGAGAAATTTTGGGTAGAAATGAATGGCCCCGATCCATTTTTCAAATCCAATCCAGGTGGACTTTCTGGAGAAGTCGGTGAGGGCGTTCCAGAAGGATGCGTGGCTTCCCCGGGCATCTCCAACTTTTCCGTAGGCAACGGCTGCGTAGAGCGCTCGTCACTTTGATCCTGATGGGCGAGAACACATATGCAAATGTGAGTAATAATTAATTGTGTAGCAGATAGTAGTGCTTCAGCAAGAAGAGCAAGAATCCATGGCTGTTACTGGGTCTTTATGGTATACATCGACATGCAAATAAACGGGACTCACCGGTTCATTCTGCTGGGACGAAGAATGCCAATTCCACCTCAAATATTTTCGGACACGATCGGCCAAGTTTGGCATGTTCTCAGGCATTTTCCATGCGAACATGACTGGCAGAACCACTGTTCACGCAACGGAAAGCAAAACAACGCCCAAAGAAACCGCTTCATCCACTGCGGGACGGGCCGGGGCCATACTAAGTATTTATTAAATCATTTATCGATGTCGGCTCCTATTTCCGGTTCTTGTCAGCGCCCCGTTTTGGGTTGCTCTTTCTTTTGATATTTTTCTTTTCTTTTTTTCTTCTTTCTTTGTGGTGGTCGTCTTATTTGTTTCTTCCCGCATGGATTTGACTCAGCACTGGAAGGTGCCTTTGTATGACACGTCTCCTGGATGAATCCGAGATCAGCAAACAAAGCGCTGTGCAACCTTCCAGCAAATCCACAGGCAGAAACCGGACAGAGTACATACAGACGGTGGATGGTTACATCGGGAATTTGAGTCTCGAGAACGACGATCCTAACATATGGTAGATTAGTGGATGACGACAGCCACTGAACCACGTTTCATATTTCATTCCTTCGGTTCCGGATTAACGGTGAGACTGACTCGTATATATGGGTTGGAATGGTGACTGGCCCGCGACCGGTGTTGGTTAGTGACGACGACTAGAGTATTAGACTGACGCTAGAAGAAAATGAACCAACGGTCTATTGGCGCTTCAGGCGGACCCTCCATGTCTCCGGCGGGGAATCAACAACAAAAGAAAGCACAGTGAATGCTGTCTAGCGATCAAGGAGTCCAATTGCAACCATGGAGGAGACCAACCGGAATTCAAGAAGACACCAAACCCTCCGGTCCTCGCGAAATATCGCTTCTCTGTTTTTCTTTTTCGGAAGCGAACGTCAGGTGCATCCCACACCTGCGACTCAGCGTGTGCCAACAAAGACCCAGCGGCAGATGGCGTGCAGCTCGACTTAATGTCGACAGGGAATGCACGATGAATTACATCGGAATGGCTATGGATGGGGCAGAGAACCAGAAAAAAAGAGCCGCATATCCTCTCTTACCATTCCAAGCGTCCAGCGAAAATGGACGATCGCACTTCTTGGAAGGATTTATAGCCCGATTCCCATCCGACCATTGCAGGCACAATGCCAGGATTCCAACTCTTCTTGATCACGCTGGTTCAGACAAAGCCCAACTTGGCACCCCTCCAACCGTGTCGTCTCTTGTATGTTGCCCTAAGGAGATGCTGTGATCATGGCTTCCGACCGGGACCCAAGAAGAGAACCGACCCGCCGCCGTCAGAGTGGTAAGGGGGCCTAGCTTTACTCCTGCCGCTTTAAGCATCTCACTAATAGCATCGCTTAGGAGCCTCTGCCTTACCACAAGGGAGCCGCGACTTGTATGACCAGGTCTTAGCCACGAGGGGGTATGCAACTCAACACGACTTTCTTTGGTAGATATACCTGCTAAGACGCCTAACGACAGAGAACTATCACGTTCCCAGCCAACTCTACCGTCGCCCGAGTATGCAAATTCTCCCAGGTATCAGGGTAACCATAGGCTTCCCTTCCAGGCCCCTAACGAGCAGCCCCCAGTACCAATGTGAGTCAGACAGTTGCGAGCTCCATAAAGCAATACCGTTTTCCTAATGACTGATATAAGTCAACAACCTAGTGCCACCCATCCTGGCGGTAACTATACTCTCGGGCAGGGCCACTTCATGGGCCAGCCTCAGTCAGCACATGCCAATATATCTCACACTGGTCATCACCTACCTTCCATGACTAGCCATGGCACCGGAGGCGGTCAGGGTTACATTGGTTATCTACCTCATCCACAAAGTGTGGACAATGTGACATATGCGCTTTCCAAAGCCACGATTGGGCCACCTTCTCCTGGATCTCTTGGGTATACCAGAGACAATAAGGGGTATTCATCGGTCAACAATGCCACGAGTGTGAGTATAGAAGGATTGAAACTGGCAGGATAATTGAATTTGACGTTTGTCACAGAACGGACAATTCACTCACCAGAATATTCCCCCGCCTGTCACTTCCGGTCCTACACCCAGTGAACCGCTTGATAGTCGTACGTTTCAATATTCGAGTAGCTACTCATGATGTGGAAGATCATGGACTGATTATAACCAGGTTACAGAGTCCAGGAACATCCCAGGACGTTTTTCAAAGTTGGAAGAGTACGGATGTCTCTCCCGAGATTGCATCACTCACCTAACTATATATGCAGGTTTTTGCTGTCGTCTGGCACGAGGGCATGGGAAATGCAGCGCCTCTGAAAGGGGGTACCAAAAGCCATGCCAGTGATCGTGAATTGATAACTGATGGAAAGTTCGGCGCCAAGATCTTCACTGATATCCGCCGCATGGTAGTCTTCAAGGAACAAGCTCAGTGTGCATGGTGCTTGTAAGTCGCTTAGAGGGTGTTCGTATCTAACAACTTATACTTATTCGAAGCCTTTAGCCCGGTGCACACATACAGCCGTCTGGGCGTCGCCAAAGCGAGTGTGGATCCCTCGAAACATGCAATCATCTATATAAAAGGCACACGACCGGCGTACGGTCCCAACGAGCCAAAAATGACAAAGGACCCCCTGGAGGTAACTCCTGAGCCGTATCAAAAGCTACACATGATGTCTCGATTGAACTTTGGTAAAATTTATACAGTTGAACATAACCAAAGGGTTCTTCCCGTTGGGAATATCAGCGAGGAATCCATGGCCAAGTTCCATTTATATGCCAAAAGGGAAACCGAACTTGGCTACTAAGGGACCTCCAATGGAGAACCTCGCATGTGGTTCAGCGGCAATCTTTGCTTCATCTTCGTCCTTTCTGTTATTTTGGCTACGATCATTGGCTTTCTTGCGAGTTCTTCTTTGATAACCACATTGTCGACCCCTTCCACCAAACGAATGCCATTGCTCGAATGGCCTGCTGATATGTGTTAAGGCAACCCTGATTTGCTACTCCCATTGATACGTTATCTATTGCTATGCATCATATCTTCAACAGCCTCGTCGCATTCAATTTTCTTCCTCTATCGTGCTACACCACTAGGGATTAACTTATGGCAGCCGTGCTCAACCATGGCCCACGAGTGTATCTATTGTGTTAATGGATGCATAGCATGGTGATATATTACTATTACGCCTTCCTTTGTGAGATAATACGAGACTTCCGATGATTGCACCCTCACATGTTAAAACCATCGTTAGTTTACTGATTTCTGTTACAAACTCATTGTATATCGACTTGAAGTTGTGAAATGTTCCATATTGCCTTAAGGATATATTTCAACACTAGTAGTTTGAATCCACCAGTACTATTCCCCATGTAGTAGTCAAAGATCGGATATAGTGGCCACTATATTTAAATGAACAATATTTTGCTCCAGCATGCATTGATTGTTATATAGCTCGACCGAGGGCCATGGAAGCATGTTCAGATATGGAGTAAGGTGAGATGGGCAGGCAATGTTTATGATTTCCCAAATTGATAACGATAATAAAGTTCTGTAGCGGTGGGGCCGAAAAGAAAATACTGCCACCCAAAGTCTCACCGCCCGACAGATTTTCTGAACCGCCCGATGAGGAAAACTTTCAAGCAGATATCTTCACTACCTCAAAAGCCACCCAAACCAAGGACACTCGAAGTTTCTTGGACTTATTTAATTGACACTATGAAGCGGAAGCTTGACGCAAACGATGTTCCCTCTCCGGAGGCCGCAGACAAGAAGGAAAAGAAGGAGGACGACAACGCCGACTTCGAGAGCCTTAACCTGGATCCGCGATTGCGCCAAGCTCTGATCAAAGAGAAATTTACGAAGCCCACACTTGTTCAAGCCAAGGCGATTCCACTGGCGCTTGAGGGAAAGGACATCTTGGGTATGTGTTGCTCTGAATAGCGATCTGTCGGAGATCACCAGGCGCTGATAAGATGCAGCTCGTGCGAAGACCGGATCTGGCAAGACTGCCGCATATGTACTTCCCATTCTGCAGACAATTCTTCAGAAGAAAGCTGTTCGTATACCTTTTATCATGTTTATCTCGAGTTTTCGAGTATAGCCATACTAATCATACGTACTATAGACCGACCCTTCATTGAAAGCAACGACAGGCCTTATCCTCGTCCCCACTCGAGAGCTTGCGGAACAGGTCCAGAATGTCGTTACCACTTTCGCTGCCTTCTGCGGAAAGGATGTACGCTCTGTGAATCTGACACAAAAGGTTTCGGATGCTGTCCAGCGCACTATGTTGGCTGATTACCCCGATCTGGTTGTTTCGACGCCCGCTCGTGTTGTCACCAATCTTGGCAGTTCCGCCTTGTCCCTGGAGAACTTGACACATCTTGTAATCGACGAGGCAGACCTGGTTCTGTCATATGGATACGAGGAAGATATCAATGCCCTGGCTAAGGCTATCCCACGTGGGGTGCAGACTTTCCTCATGAGTGCTACGCTCACTGACGAGGTGGATACTCTGAAGGGTTTGTTCTGTCGGAGCCCTGTAACCTTGAAACTAGAAGACAAGGATGACCAGGGTGCCGGTGTCAGTCAATTTGTTGTCAGGTGAGATTCATGCCAGTTTCGTTGATATTTATGCTTCGGTGGCTAATGTTGTCTGCTCTAGATGCGCGGAAGACGAGAAGTTCCTGTTAACCTATGTCATCTTCAAGCTTCAGCTGATTAAAGGGAAAGTTATTATCTTCGTGGACGATGTCGACCGTTGTTATCGCGTGAAGTTGTTCCTCGAACAGTTTGGAATCAAGAGTTGCGTGCTGAACTCTGAATTGCCTATCAACTCCCGTATACACGTCGTTCAGGAGTTCAACAAGGGTGTCTACGATATCCTCATCGCCGCAGACGAGCAGGAGGTAATCGGAGCCCGGAAGTCGAAGAAGTCCAAGGAAACCACCAACGAAGCAGGGTCAAGCGACGAGGATGAGGGAGAGCCGGAAGAGAAGTCCAAGCGCCGCAAGGTATCAGGAAAAGAGAAAGACTACGGAATCTCCCGCGGCATTGACTTCCAGAATGTTGCATGCGTTCTGAACTTCGACCTTCCCTCCACTTCCAAGTCCTACACACACCGAATCGGCCGTACCGGAAGAGCAGGCAAGACCGGCATGGCGCTATCATTCGTCGTCCCCAAGGACCAGCACGGAAAACACAGGCCTACCTCCACCGCAACCTCCAAGCATGACGAGTCCGTCCTTGCAAAGATCGTCAAGCGGCAAGGCAAGCTCGGCCACGAGGTGAAACCATATCACTTCGAAATGAAGCAGGTCGAAGCCTTCCGGTATCGTATGACCGACGCTCTCCGCGCCGTAACACGACTCGCCGTACAGGAAGCCCGTGCCCGGGAAATCCGTCAAGAGCTGATCAAGAGCGAGAAACTCAAGCGCCACTTCGAAGAGAACCCCGAAGAGCTGCGCCAGCTGCGCCACGACGACGAGCTGCGCTCCGCACGTGTCCAACCTCACCTCAAACACATCCCAGAGTACCTGATGCCCGCCAAGGGCAAGAAGGGTCTTTCCAGTGGAGACGTCGGCTTCGTGAGCTTCAGAAAACAAAACGAGAACCGCATCAGGAAAGCAAGAGAGAAGAATCGCGGCAAGGGCAGTGGCCGGAAATTTGCCGGAGTGAAGAAGAAGGTAGATCCGTTGAAGACGTTCAACCGGGGCCGGAAGTAAAAACAGGGATAATCGTTCTGCTTCAAAGAAAATACCATCATGCTGCTCATTTTACTGTACATACTGGTTTGGGAAATGGAAAAGTTACTATAAGCCTTTCAAAACCACACGCCTTCGTCGTATTTGATATCTACACTAGTACAGCTTCTGACTGCTATCTGACTATTCTAGCCTGCAGGTATAAATAGATAGCCAAAGAGCGCAGTCTGTATGCTAATCAGTCCGAATTCTGGAATCCAAGTGACATGAGTGGCTAGGCAGACAGTCAGTGAAGCTACAACAGATAGAACCAGAAATGCATGTACATCCGCTGTTAAAAATAACTCTATTTTGATATATATTTGACAGAGCCCTGAAACGGCCTCTGGCTCGCCATATTACCATGGCGTTATTTACTAGCATTTACTAGCAACGAATGTATCTACAACCGGTTGTATCGCATCAAGGTAGAAGACTCAGATACTCCTTCCCGAGCAACTGTCTAAGGACACCGTCTTCTAACCCTTCTAAACCAAAAGAAAAATGAACCCACTTTCCCTTGCCCGCCTTTCTTGTCCGCTGTACCCGCTGCTGAACTGCTTTTGCAGCTTTCACGGCTTCCCGATACCGTTCGAGCTCCTTCTCGCGACGATACTTGACTCGCTCCACTTCGACGTCCCATGGGAGATCATCAGAATCCGTGGGCTGATCAGGAGACGGAGCATGCATTGAGAATGCTAGAGAACGAGGCACGGAAGATGGCGACGCGTGAGATGAAGATTCAGCGCCATGTTGTCCAGAAAGGGGAAGAGGCAGTAACTCGCTATCATCAATATGAGGAAGCCATCCCGGGCCCAGACGGACAAACTCGATGTCTCTCCATGACCCATTCCATTCCGGACCGGCGACGTACGCCTCACCATCTGGCCCAACGCCATCCCAATCTAGTGCTGGGACCCAGTCGCCACAGCCTTCCAGGTCGAGCCATTTCAGACAGTAAGTTGCGCGAGAGAGCCTCCGCAGGATACCGGCTGCTTCGGCCCAGTTGTTCTCGAATGAGGAATATGCGTCTGTGCCGCCGTAGGCGAAGGTTAGGGACCTTTGCGTTGGGTGTCGTACACTGGCATTAATGGAATTTGGTGTGACTGTTGGGACAGGCCAATGTGCTAATGACAGATGTGTTATGGTCGAGAGGCGGGAGAGGAGGTTGATGAGCGAGTTCCAGTCAGTAGCAGATGGGATTGGATGTGCAAGTGAGAGGTAACGGAGATTCTCAAAGCGCAATCCTTGGGTGACACCTTTAGGGAGGAGCGTATCTCCGGCGATGGTAGGACTGTCATCCTCGTTCATTTCATCGTCCCAGGACGCTGGGATGGGCTTTTTCATAGTATGTTGCACGGTACTGGGTTTCGCGGACACCAGCAGTTCGCTAGAGAGTTGTTTCCAGGTAATCCAGCGTCCTAAGGCGCCACTTAGATCTAGACGGCTTATCTCCAAATCATTATCCTGCGATATATCGTCTGCCTCAGGCCGATGTTTCTCAATCAGCGGTCTTAGACCATGCATCATACCCCGCAACGGCTGGTCTCTCGCGTGAATGCTGATATAGCTGAGCAGCAGCACCTTGATATGACTAGGTAGGAGTGCAAGGAACTCCCCATCATATTCAAGATGCCAAGCCCAATGCAAAGCCATAGATTTCAGCAGCATATGTAGCAGGGTGGTTCTTCGGGGAAATGTCGTCCCCGGGAGGCGATCCAGCCGATATATGATTCTCTCGGTTTCCGCTGCACCAGCTTCTATACCAGTTCCCTCTGGATTCTCATGCGAATAGTTTCCCAGCAACCAGCTCTCAGGTGGCGGTGGTCCAGCGGTCCTTCTCACCCGTCGCCCACCAACTCCGGCGCGGCGGGCATCCGGACGAGGGCGGGGAGGCGGGGTTTCGGGGATCTCTAATAGATTCCGCAGCGAGGGATGGACGGATCGCGGTGCGACTGTCCTGAAAGTAGTTCTGGTGCCATCGTCGGAAGGAGAGCTGGAAACCTGAGTACGGCGGAGATGGCTGATCAGGTCGTTGACGGACGGTTGCTCATTTGCTGACGACCGGAAGCGATCATCTCGGGGGCCAGAGGAAGCTAGGGTATGGTGAGCGGTGCTAGCCGGTTTGGTGAAAGTAGACCTATGATGCTTTTTGGGCATCGAGGGATGTGTGAGGGTGGAGGATAGGAGAGAGTTGGAAATGACGCTGAAGTGCGGGACGGAAGCTGTTAAATCTTATCTGATAAATTCGCCCCCACCACTGAGTCACCGAAACCGAGTCGCTTGATGTAACAGTAAGGTAGAGCTTGGGCCAAATTTCTTCTAGTTTGATGATTTACACTTCTGGCTGTCTTTGCGCCTAATATACATTGACATATGAAGGCCTTCATATATCACGAACCCACGATTCATCATCCATCTTCCCTTCCCGTTTTGGTCCTTCTTGAATCCATGTCTCAACAAGACCTTCCTTTGGATCCTCATCGGGCAGCCCCCGCGACCGCCTTACATCTAACACAAGGTCCCTAACCTTCTTGGTGACCTCTTTCCGCAGCTCAACTGCCTCCTTTCCGTTAAGAAGCTCGTCGCTCAACACGCCGACGGGGAGGTCGCGAGTCTCCGGAGATTTCAATTCGGCCTTGGCCTTCAAATCCCGCCATCGCCGTCTCATATCCCCGAACACTGCGTCGGTATCAACCTTCTGTCCGAAGGTGACACTAACGTCCTTCCCCGGTCGTGGGAGGAACCGTGGAAACTCTCGGCTCTCATGCATGACTTGGTCAAACCCTTCTACCCACATAGGGACGACGTCAGGGCATTCATTGGTTTCTAGAATCAGTCGAGCAACACCCCATTTGAAATAGCGCATTGTCTTGTTCGGTGCCTGGTGGATTTTGCCTTCCGGGAAAATGTGGACCCAGGAGTAAGAGTTGCAAGAGAATGCGGATGGAGCCAGATGCGAATCTTCTCCGTTGGTGGTGTACGCCATGGGAAGGTCGGAAAAGGGATCGACGCAGACGTTCTGTAGGCTCCAGTGTTGTCGCTCGGGGCGGGCTTTGTGAGCGTTGACGGGGAAGGGTCCTTTGGATAACAATCGGATCGCCTGGGTTACGGCCGGTTGTGCGACACCACCGTACGGTGAGTGTGCGAGTCGGTGGGTGGGGAGAACCTGACCCATGGTGAAGAATAGGGATAAGGGCCTTTCAATCCGTCGTTAGCTGAGATTTTCGATGTGGGAAATTGAAACAAAGCCATACCTGCCCTGAAAGCAGATATCATGACTGCCAAACCCCCATCTTCTGTTCCAGTTCGAGAAACCAAAATTGTATCGCAATGGTAGGAAACCCCACATGATCGGATCATCCATACTGCTCGTTAGCGACCACGGTCAGTGTGCTCTTCTTTGTCGCGAGTAATCAGGTCGCCTCGGCCATTTTGAGGCGCATCGTACGTACGTACACGCTGATATGGTTGGAAACTGTAGTAAAATAGTGAGATTAGCCATCGCTCGTCAGATCATTGTTAAAAGACAATGAACAGCGGGAAAAGTACCTGTGAGTAGGCCTCTTTTTCTCTGTAACGGATCACTTCGAGAGTCGAGTAACTCCAAGAACGAATCGAGGCCGTTGACCTCGGGTCGACTCAGCGTATACAAAAACGAGCGGCATAGCGCAGCGACACCAAAGACTGTCACCGAGGACATGACCCTCCAGGGTAAGGAGGGACAGTCCCCTGTTGCACCGGAATCCCTTTCGCCCGACATCATGAAGTTATTGAAACCCCATGAAAATAATTGCGACGTTTCGAGCCTGGCGGGGAAGAAGGATGGAAGGAAAAGAAACAGGGACGGGGTAAAAAAGAGGACCCCGGATCATCGGCGTGTAAGCAGTTGGCATCTTCATTGGTTTTTTATTTTAATCCGCGGAGGTCGGACGACGCACGGACCATGTAAACCTGACCTCAGAACGGGATTTTCGCCCGTGACTACACCTTTAGACACTTGCCCTTTGTTATCGCAACCCAGATTCCGTGCCACACAAGATGTTCAAAGCGTCGTCTCCTCTTTTCTCAGGTCTTCTTTGGTATGTAACCCAATTAGTCCTCGTGAACTCTCCGAATCCGCTGCAGTTGCCCCTCCCCGAACGTCTTCGTCAAGAACGTCCAGCTTGAATTCTAACCATCTCTTCTTATTCCATAATAGGAAGATCCCATGGCGAATCTCGCAGCCCCAGAAAGCTCGCCAGAGGAAGCGCCTTCGCACTGTCGATCGTGTGGTAGACACCATCAGCGCAGCCCTTGCCCGTAACGGACAGAAAGCGCGATCCGTCGACCGGTGGTATCGGGAAATGCCTCGCGAGGAGGAGATGCTGCCCAAGGATAAATACACTCTCTTCGACAAGAAGGAAAAGACATACCGCAAAGGCATTCATAGTACGTTACCCCTTATCCTCCGTCTTTTGATCGTGCGATCCCTCTTCACCTCAAATGTCACATCCTTGGCCTGGCGAGCGCGAAGAGGAAAACCAGAATAGAATGGAAAGCAAGATATTGGGATATGTGACTCTGTAGCTGATATCTTATGCAACAGAGCTGCCGAAATGGACACGAGTCAGCCAGCGCGTGAACCCTCCCGGTTTCTAAACAGTTGCTTGGAGCACTATCTCGAAGCAATTCGATGCGAACACTGCCACCAGGCTTTCGGGGCCGAACATTGCGAGTAAATACTGGGATTCATATTGTACGATACACCTTGACGCTTGTTGGCCATGTTTTCTCATGAGAGAGCGTCTTAAACTAGAAAACGGATACACGAGGGCTTACCGGAGTTTTGGCAACTGGGCAAATCGCACCATGACTGTTGAATTTCCTTGTTTAGTTACAATCATAGTTACTTTTAGTCTCGAGCGCATGTACAATTACTTGGTTTGTTTCCACAGGTTTACCCGTACACCTACTATATAGTAAGAACCGGGCGCCACTGCACTGAAATGGCAAGCAAAAGGGCGAACATCACCGGATGGGACATTTAATCAGGATATGGTAGGAGAAAAGCTGAGTATCGTTACCTGTATGGTAAATTTGCTGTTTCCCACCTAGCGAACCGCCCTAAGGCTATTGTTGAGGTGGAGTCATCGGCCTAGATTTGCTGGCGATACGCTTTCTGGTAGAACCGAGTGAGACCGACTGCAACTTGCTTTGCTCTAGTTCTGTTGGCCCTTCCTTCATGAATTGCCTTGCGGATGCGATACCCACGGCGGATATTTTGCCAGTCCTCTAATCTTTCTTGCCAGCCGGCCCCTCCTTCATAGTATGTGGCATTTTGTCTGGCTGACAGCTGATATCCTTGTGGCGGCTTTCGAATTAACCAACAGGCTGGGTCGATATATCCATCCGGGGGATCATCAGCAGAGTCGTCGTATAATTCTAGTCGTTTGACAAGGTCTCTCAACCCCGATGCTCTTCTGTTTCGGTTGACGGCTATTCTCCATGATTCGATCCGCGGCGTGTTGGCAACTTTACGAGTGGCTTCAGGATACTTACGCTTAGGATTCTGAGACGTTGGGGAGGGGGTGTTGAATCTAGGATCCCCAAACTGCCGCTTTGCATCGATAGGGGCACGCGATGCAGGGTCATAAACGATCCAAGTCCGAATATTAAGCCAATGGTTGGGAAGTAAAGGGAAGTGAAACGGTCTTCGACCCGGAATAAGTTGTTGAGAGAGCCATCCGAGTCTTCGGTCCAAGCCGTCTATCAGCATGATCTCCCAACTGCTCAAATGCCTCAATGGAATAGTAAATTGTGCGGATGTTGTTCCAAGCATGTTGGCCTTCTTCTTACTCTGGGGTCTTCCTTCTTTATCACTTCTCTGAGACCATATTGACTTTCGTAGTCGTGTAGATGGACACTGGAATCTATCAAATTGAACGTGGCTTGGATGCTTAGAAACGGAAAGAGTAGTCTGCGACTGGCATCGATCTTGCCTGAACAGCATTGTTGTCGGTTGCCGGGCTTTGGTAGTGGTGACTTTTGCTTTGTAGCTTATCACACTAGCTCTTTCCACACGACGTTTCTGAGTGCCGGAGATACTAAGGCCACTCGAATCACTTAATGAGCTCCAACATGCGGTAGTCCTTTGTTCATTTATCATTTTAGCGAGAGTCGTGCGATGGGACGAGAACTCAGTCAGCAACTCGGACCTGGGACTCCCTGGAGGAACTGAAAATTGATGCTTGCTATATTTCCCACACTCTGGGACATTCAATCCCATCTGGGCAGACCAAACCTGGTATTTGCGTGAATATATTAATGCTCGAAGATTCCTTGATTTTCGGCGATGGTCTGTGGGTCTCTGGGAGTTCGAGGAGCCTTCAGCGCGTTTTCCCACTCTCCGAAAGGTAATCTTGAGATCCGACAGACGAGGAAGGGAGTGGTTAGGTTTTGCTAAAGGATCGTTATTTGAGATATAGAAAAAGATGTCTTTTCTTGTAAGAACGCAAGCAGACTGATCCAAGGAGAGGAACCTTTTATGATTGAGCGAGCGCGCCGAGGGTCTGCCTGCTTGAATAGTACAGTATTTAAGAGCCATTGTAGATTGCTTTGCTCGGGTCGCAGGTGCCACACATCGCAGATCATCCTTGAACAACTCTTTTACAGAGGAGAGTCTCCTGCGCTGTCTCCTCGGTAGTTTGTATCTTTCAGGACAAGTGTTGACCATTTTATCCGATTGCAGAACTCCGGCCATATTTGAGGAGTAGCACGACCCGGCGCCCTGGCCTGACCTAAAGGCGTGTCCACAGGGGCTGCGGATAGCATTTGCCGTTGTAGGTTTGCGCTTTTTGAGATGTGTTCTCCAATGTCGCTGGCACATTGAGTCCTGCTTGCATGCCTCCAGCTCCGTATGATTAAAGCTCCACCAAATCGAACAATAACTATTCTTCGCTGAGTTCCATGTGGCCCATTGTCGGACCTTCGCGAAACATTGTTGTACTATGGACGTTTTGGCCTTTTGACGTTGTAGTGGCACCCACCCGTACCAGGCCTTTACGTAGCGACGTGCAGGGCTGTTTCCTCCTCCAAGGACCTTTTCCATCGTGAAACGACGGAAGAAATTTCCAAGCTTCCAGATTAGAACGGCAACAACAAAGATGCAGAATGTCCCAGTGAAGAGCTCGAGAATAGCCTTGAGAGTAATGTTCTTTGGCCCTGATATAGGGATGGGGGGTGCGCCTCTAATTGGAGGGTAATAGCCAGGTAGAGTATGAGAGAGTCGGGGAAGGACCGGTGCCATCGAAGGGACCTTCAATGATCATCCTGATAACAATATGGAAATAGAAGTGAAGCCGCCGTGGGATTTGTCGAGCGAGAACAACTACTAGTCAGCCGTGAGGAACATGTGAGAGCCGCAAGAGGAAGGCACGACTGAAGTCGGGTCGATTGCCTCACCCTAGAACAAACGTAGCCCTGATTTGGCAAGTTGTGTTCTCGGAAATGGCAAGTTATGGATGACCTCGCTCGCAGGGTTTACACCCAGTCAATACCACCAAAGGGCCTATTTCCCCAAGACCAGCCAATCAGGTGAAAAATGCTTCATACATTAAGGAAACCCATGTTCAAAAGGATCCATTCTGATGACATTTCCTTACTAATATGAGTACCAAGACTCTCATATCAGGATACACCCTTTAGCACTCACCATCTGTGCAATCAGTAGTGCAACCATCGACGTGAAAATTGAACAACCATGCTCCTCACTTCCCTCTTGTGTTGCTATATAGGTACAATATGGACCATACTCATCATTCACGGGCCCTGCTTAAATCCCATGGAGACATTTCTGGAGCTTCATACTTGTTCATATGCACAAGGTACTTCCTTCACTCATATATCAGATAACTTGATGCATGCATGATTTGGGTCCTTTTGAAAGCAAGATGTGATATATGACCCCATGGCTCATGCAAGTATTCAGGGCCAGCGCTTCCCACAAGCTAGGTTCACGACAGATACAATGATGCGATGCGTATCACTCCAAAAAATGCCCAGTCTACAGGGAATCATCTGCCTGGAAACACATCCGTGCCCACCCGAAGAGCGATACTCCCTTGCTTAACGATCCGGAACTCTACCCTGCATCCCCAAAGGACATGTAACCATAACGACACCGAGCGAGGCCGACCATTCTAGGATTCAGCACACTCTGCCTCGTAGTTTCTCTGAGATGACACCGAAAGATTAGGATCCACTATTGCAATCTTACCAGACCGGGTTGTCGCACGACTCCATGAATATACAGCTTCCGGAAATTTTGACGCCATGAAATATTTACATACATATGTTGCATGTGACATCGTTTGGAATTTGGCTTTGGCGGGCCATTTTACAGTCTTTTAGACAGCTACTATAATCCCGGGTGGAGGCTTCGCTGCCCACTTTCCCGTCTGCCATTCTCACCAGGCTGCTTTTCATACTTTCGAATAGATTGCTCAGGGAGATTTCTCCAGAACTATTGAGTAAAATTATAAACAAATGTTTTAATTTCGCTTAGCAAAGTTGATTTCATCATCCTCTGAGTCAGGAGACATATCTGCCTGACTTAATGATATATACTCTTGCAGGAAATAATGAGTGGGGAATGAGTAAGTCAGGCTAACCACTGTGGAAAGTGGATAATAGCTACTCTACTTCCAGGATGCACATCTTCTCTCGCTAAACGTCCCACAGTACACAAAAGATTGCCTGGAAAATGTATCAGTTACACCTCTTGTACGATATCTACATTTAACATGCTTGTGGAACTTGTCGGGCTAGCCTTGCGTATACAGAAACGCAGTTGGCTTTAACGACAGAATTGAAGAATCGATATGGTTCTTGAGTCAAAATGGCATAACTGGAGCGATCTAATTTCTTTTGCGATGGCGGACTCGTCTCCCGTCTGTCGATATCTAGATGTTACTGTCTACGAACCACCTGGCAGACATACACTATGCCCCAATGATGGGCTTACGAGTTTTGGAAACGCTCACTCGCTTCTAGTTCGCCATTAGGGTCATCATACTTCTACCTAGATTGTTTGGATAACCCACACCCATTGGACGAACTATATCGCACCATTGCTTGAAACACCAGGAAAGGAACACCACGATCGCAAATTGCCATCGGTCTTTGTGTGTTTCGGGATCTGTGATAGATGCGTCAATATCTTTTTTTCTCAGCTACATTACGTCACTCATAAGGCTTCCAAGTGGCTAATAGAGCTCTTTCTTAGCAGAAAGCGAGTTTGTGCTTGGATCTGACAAAACAGTCCGTCCACAATTCAGCTTTCGCAACAAAATTTTCCATCCGAAAAATCCTATAAGACGCCAACTATACTACGTGTCCGTCCCGCCACTGCTTCCGATTTTTCCATCTACACTATCATTTCTGGAAAAAAGTAAACATTCGGGTGCCGTTCTCTAATCCCAGGCAGAACAATAAATACCCCTGTCTATCCGATCGGTGTTTAAATTAGCCTAAACTGCAAAGCAATCACCATTCGCCCAATCAGCTGGTTTGGTAGTCCTTTTGCCTAGTACCTACCGTATTCTTAACCAACCCAATGGTTCATCACAAACGGCCGATCCAAATGCGAACGCCTTATTTATTTATTTTTGCTTTGCCTATTTCGTTACTTTTTTTGCGAAAAGTTTGGTCTGAGATCCGATCCAGGAATTCTGGCGGATCTTCAACGTCAATGTCTTACTCCCCAGTGTAGCATAATGGAATTCTTGATTCAGTGGCCACCACTACAGGATCAAATCAAGGAATTGTGTCAATGGTGTGTGACCAGGGTTCAGAAAAAAACAGGTTCAAAAATAAAGTGAAATCCTTCGCAATGACTAAGTGGGTCCACATGGACCATGTGTGGTAATGGAAATAACTGGGATATGGAATATGAAGCAGTGGACCTAGTATCCTTTGCGACATGACAAAACAGGCAATGCATCGGCTCAGGGACACTCTGTCCACCTGATGTCAGATACTAAGGAATCGGCTTGTCGCCACCTGCGTACGCGCGGTTAGGGGCAGGTATAACGTTTACAGTTAGAAGCAGATCGAGATAGCACCTGCATAAGATATAGTTCGCCGATCTTGGATCTCTAGGCATTCGTTGGGTAAAGCGTCATTTACCAAGGATGAATGGCTAATCACGTCATCAGATGCTCAACTTCCGGCCAACACCGCGAAAAAGAAAAGAAGAGGAGGAAATGGGAAGGGATGAGCATCATAGCAATGGAAGGAGGTGACCGAATCTTGAGACGCTGAGTACGGCAACAGATAAGGAGAAATCCTTGGTGAGAATGGGAGATTGGGTAGCATCTAGGATTCCAGATGGGAGGCCTTAGCGGCACTTGGATACATAATTGACCAAGTAAGGGTCCGCATAGATTGATCCAGATGTTAGCGCTGGACAAGATCAACTCCAATCAGTTTCTCACCGACAACCAGGCAGTTATGTTGAGTGAACTGATTCAGCAAGGAGTGTGATGGTTGTTGGTGATGGCCCTGATGGGATAGTGAATCCTCGATAGTTCACCGCCACAGAATCAACGTTGATCAATAGTCTAAGCCACCTGTGGCTAGTGGGTCATGGGCCAATCAGATGAGAGTGCTCACACATGGTTGAGGGCCGATTCACATGAAAAATCTGATGGATCTTGCATGCTCTGCAGGCAGACGCAAAATACGGTCCGAAAGTCGGTACAGGAAAAAGCAAAGACCTCTATGTGCGTGGCATGTTCCGCTACACTGGGGACCAAGAACCGCCAACCGGGTAACACAGGATTGAGACCGATCTGCAGCCTATGCCTTACTTTTACCCCTGTCTTGATATGGTGACAATCTTGGCCCGAAATACAGAAGCTATCCATCCGATCATGATTCATGGTGTTTGATGACAGTGATTGAAGAGGCCACTAGACGCGCCATCCCCGTTTTACCGCTTCGCTCCCTGCTTTTTTGCCCTTGTGCGCCATACTGATCGCCCTGGTTCCACTCAAGCAGATCGCTATCCTTTTTTGCGTACGGTTGCTGGTGGATCCTTATACTCAATCACGAGGTTATGCAACCGTGAATTTTAGCAAAGCAACTTGTTGGCCTTGAGCAATGTAGCCATGCCGGTAACCATAGCAAAGTGAGTAGAGAAGGATCCCGTCTAGACTTTTGTGTAGATCAGACAGCAAATAGATGATTGGTCGATCTAGACAACACAAGGTGAAGGACCTGCAGCCACAAACAACCTCGTGGGGACCCACCGATTGTTGGTGTGATCAGATCCACGGATCTCAAAAATGGGGCTGGGAAGATATGGCCAGTCAAGGCAGCAGTAAATGGTCACTTGGAAGGTTTGCAATCCAACCCTATAGAGTTTGTCTTAGAGAGGGTGTTTTCCCGGATGCCTGGTTAGCATAGTTCATGAGGCTGAGGTGGAGATCCTTCGGCATTGACTCTGTGGCTTGTATCCCCTCCTAACCTAAACAGGCAGATGGTGTGGCGAAGTTGCTGAGGCGGGTGTCCATCGGACCCACTTTCATTGTTCCTCTTTCAGTATTCTCACTTCAACTCCGTCGCTTGTTCCGTTCCAACCCTCCTTTTTCTTTCACAGATGAAGACTTTGTACTGGTCGCATCCCATATCTTCCGTTCTAGGCCCTTCGCTTTCATTCTGTGGGTACGGTCTTGGAAACTTCATCTCCTCAAAGAGGATGCTTCCATTGGGCCGGGATCCATACCTGATCATCATGATTTTCTACACGAAGAGAATGGGCTAGGTCCTGCATATCAGCCGCTGCACAGGCTCTGCTCGCCTACCTGTAGTGTGATGGCACAATTGCCGCTTAGGCCACAGCTTCAACAAGAGAACATGTCGGTATGATTGGGACGCATTGACACGGTAATTTAGTTCGTATTTTCAGTGTCGCTGCTGCAAATCCAGGATCGAGATCGGGAATCTACTGTTAGGGAGATAATAGAAAGCGATGGAAACCATTCCCGGTTATTTTATGATCCTTGAGCTTCACCGATGTGGTCGATCGATGCAAGGAGCTCGATTTGGAGATCCTAGCTCCTTTGCCTGGCAGCTAAACGGCAAGGAACATCTCGCAACAATCTCTTTGCGCAGTAAGTGGGTCTAGAACGGAGGAAGGAGAAGGGAAAAGCAGTGAATAATTCCCCGAAGTTTACGGAAGCAAGCTCACATTCCAACCACATTGAACGAAAGGAGCTCATGGGAAAAGCCACCGAAAAAGAAAAATAAATCAAACAGAAAAAACAACTGTGGATCAGCGACCCAATGGCCTTGCATTTCCGGAAGCGCTTAGCGTGGTTACCAAATCCCTAATCTTGTTGCATATCCCGCGACTGATCTGATCGAACCTACCAACAATCAATGGAAAGTTCTTCATTGGAACATGTCTCATTGCACTTTGCCTTCTAGGCAAGAAAGAGGCAAACTCAATTCGACCATGGTACAACAAACTTAGGTCACCTCTGATCTCATTGTTGACGCGTAATAATAAGACAGCAGCAGAAGGAAAGATAAAATTGCGGGAAACGTAAAAATAAGAACGTGCGTCAACCAGAAATCAATAGTCAGAGCCCACATTCCGGGAGTTCCCCACCAACGTCCTGTATGCAGAATCTTGCAGGTCTTATCGGTGCGAACCCTACCAAACCCTAACAATTCCGACATCCCCTCCCCATACTGTCCGGTCCTTATTTCGCTCTACAGATCGGCGTCATTTGGTCATTCAGATCTATCGATCTCTAGTCTCCTGTGGTGGCAAACATGCGGAGTTCATTAGAGTAACCATGGTTCCATTTCACATTGCATCTATATTACTGCCTATTATATGCGGAGCTCTTTTGGGTCAGAGGTATATGAACATGTTATGGAAGCCGGGAATCTTCTTGCCTCATCCAATTCCAACATTCTCCTAATCAGCGTCGTCTCGTTCAGTATAGTGTCCATTGCTTATTACTCCTCGCAAGGTGCATGTTCCTTTGTGCTGTGTCATTGATTCCTTTGTGTCCTCCAGTCGCACTTATATCGGCCCTAGATCAAGGGACAGTACCCCACTGTCAATCTCTTCTGCCGTCGTTGTGAGAAGAAGGAGAGCCCAATATGGTCCAAAGCACTGCAAGAACCAGCTCCGGTAGTTCCAGTCGTGAATACGGCATCACATTCGAATGTGCGCCTCCCTCAGCCGTTCGTCCCGGCGTTCCCTTGACCCTACCGGTGATCGTTGCGGTTCGACCTGTCGGTGCCCCCAGAGACAGTTCTGTGCAACAGTTGGTCGTGAATGTGTCGCTACGAAATGAGTCAGGAACCGCGGCTTGTCCCGGACTGACCGGCACATTGACGTCGAGTGTGCGCAGCCGTCATGGAAACACTACGGCTGGGTTTGGAAGATTCAGCCGGCTCACCATCGGGCAGCCAGGACGATATCGATTGCGAGTAATGTTGGGCGCTGCTTCCGCCAGTGGAGTGACGACGCGAGATTATATTGATTCGGGCGTCATTGAGGTTCATGCCGGTGCTCCGGCAGTTCAGCGGCCAAGTAAGTTGACAACTTCATCTCTGGCACCTTATGTTCTTCTGGGAAGGGTTCTAAATAGCTAACTATCTTAAAGCTCCATCACAGGTCACAAAACTCCAAAGCCTGATCCCAGAGAACATAGACCTGTCGGCAGGCGAGATTGCAGCCTGGCAGCAAGCTTAATCCAACAGCCCTCCAATTGCATCGGACTACAGGGAGTGAGAGGAGTTACATTGGATTTCGGTCTAGCATTCTTATCTTTTCAGGGGCGTTGCTTGGGAGCATGGATACATGGTAATAGCGACATAGAGGGATTTTTCTTTAGTATTTCTCCGCGGTAAACGGTCTTGAGGGACAATTGCGTCCTACACCCGTCCTTTTCCCCGTCGGGTTCCTCAATGCTAGAATTAGTAATTTTCTTGACATCACTGAACTGCCAAATATTGTTTAGTCTTAATTTGCATTGCACTATAACATTAGATCAGGAAGATCGCGTGTATCCCAAATCAATCATTGGCTGCGGTATCATCCCGAGGGACTATTTTTGTGGAATTTATTTCCGTGGTCGTGTTCATCCTATCCACACTCGTGATCCTAGCCCTTAGACCCGCAATCCAGCGATTTTCCTTCGTAGCAACACATGAGATCCACCCATCATCCCGTGTAATGCCCCTCATCGGCCCCTCTGCTCCTGTCAGCCCAGCATACAACCAAGCAGGTGTGAACGTCGCTTAGGATGGGACTCGTAGGGCCTTACCGGAATTGGGTGAACGCAGTTTGCCATCCTCCCTTCGCTCTTCATTTGAACAGGTAGGTTCTGATTGACAGCCTGTATCTGCTCTACCATTGTCCAACTTCGCATCAGTTATCACAGGTATCCCCGGTTTTCACTGCGTTTGGTTCGTCCTGAGGAGAATGGCAAGTGGCACTTACCAACACAACAACCCCCAACCAGACGTATATGCTCTTTGCTACGCATAGTTACCTGGTCTAGTCCTATCTAGAGCAATATGAATCCCTGAATAGCAGTCAGCAGTGTCGATCAAGCAGCATAACCCGATGCCGAGTTTTCCTCGTTCCCAAGTCTATCGCAACAGACGACATGAGCATCTATAAATCCGCGATGTAGTGCAGGGTAGAAGTCAAAGACAAATTGGGGCCTTCGACGCTCACCTGATATGTTGTTGAGGTAGAGGTTGCACCCATATGAGAGGATTTGAAGAGTATTCGACTCATACGAACGGTCAGCGCATTCTGCGACAAGAAAAGCGTATCTTAGCACTGACAATCATGGCATTTATTATCGTTCTATAATTCCAACACTGACCGTGCAGCAGAGTCATAAAAATGAGGCATACTAGAAAGCTGAATCACACAAACCAACCTGAGGAAATACAACGATCGATTTCCACTGAAATACCGATGAATAACATAATGTGTTACCGGCGATCAACCCTATATGGGAACACGGTGCAAATCGAAACTAGGGTCAATATACCCTCAAAACCCGACTGTTGACTAAATACAATGGAACCCACTTTCCGTCTCTAGCCAGGCCTCAATGTTGTTTAGACCTGGATATGCCCTTCTTAACGCTGGAACATCGGCTTTATATCCTCACTCACAAAACCACCGAAATATAACCCCCAATTCTTCAAACGCCCACATCAACAATCGTGTTCCTTCCCAGAATTAGTCATGGACTATAAGCACATCTGGATCCCTGGCTGTAATTTGAAGGATATTATTCAACTGGCGCTGGAGTCCTCTACTTCCGCTCCTCATTCTCGAGCCCATAGGAAACGTTATCCGTCGTAGCCTGTTCACGTAAGGCGCCAATGGCTGATAGCAAGCTGTGAAATATCGGTTTACGATGTTAGAAAACTCCACCTCGTCGGTGAGTATTCCTCGTTCTCAATTCGCAAGTTTCTGGTCGTCGTCATAATTTCAGCAGTCAAAGTCCGTGGGCCCGATTCATTTTGCCAGGTCCCTCGTAATGGATGCATATCTAGAACAGAGACCAAAAGGATGACTCTAGACTCTGCTAAGAGGATCCATATATATTGGCGTCCCTGGTTTCTTTGATGCCTTCTTTCGTAATATCGATGGGCTGGGGAGAATAACGGAAACTGTTTTGCAGGGATGGAAGCATGGTGATGATGCATTAGATCGCGACGAGACCGTCTGGCGAGACTGGCCCGTCCCCGAATCGTCGAACCTCTTGGATGATCTCTTCGGCCTTTACTAAGTCATTAGTTCGATTTCGATAGATTCTTTCCGTTGCTTAAAGCTATTTGGGATAAAGAAACCGACGGAATCATTTGGGATAAAATAGTAAGACCGTAAGATAGAATGAGATGCAGCCGATATAAGAAGAAAAAGCAAGAACAGGCGAGATTTTTATAATAGATTACAATTCACTCTGTTTCTGTGGCACTTCTATTCGACTTTAGTCTTTCTGCCATAGAGCGATGTCTTCCGATTTGAATCTTTCTTTGTGTGGCTAACATTACAACCTATGCTCAAATCGTCAATTGGTAATCGGCTCCACTCTCGGCGTTGATCTCAACCCCGACGCTAAAGTGCATGATGAGAGTATCCAAGCTTTAACAAACATCTTGGTAAGCTTCAAAATACTTTCATAATTGATAACCGAATATTATTCCTTCACTTATAGTTAAGTAGGTACTACGACAGTGTCTACACACAAATAAGCGCCCTACTCTTAGTGCGCCGATCGGTATCCACTTCGAGTTCGAAATTGCAGGAGTAAAATGAAGAACACGCTCCGAGTTATGATATCTAATTAGTACCATTATTATTATGAAAAGATTTTCCAGGGAAATATGCCCGTTTTCTCCATTTTACGCAGAGGCAACGGTACAGAGTTCCATGCTCTCAGTTCCCACTCTGTGTTACCAAATATTCTTAACCTCCTAGTCACTTTAAATACTGATATCACTCTAGTAAATTGAGACAGACAGGCTTGAAGCGCAGAGTAGTTATGAATTCTGCACAGTGATGAAAACATATCTCAATAGATCACTGATAAGGCTAAATAGAAGGCGAAAAAGGAAAAAAAATTGATGACATAATAGCCACATACGCCAAGCGATTTATACCAAAGTCAATAAATGTCGATCAATATGCAACCTCCTTGAACTACCATCAGAGAATGGTTACAATACTATCCCGTATCAATGCCACAGATTAACCCAAACTAATCGTAAAATGCCGCCCGGTGTGTAATACCCCTCCAACTACGCAAAAATACCATGCCGAACCACCCCCAGGGTGAAATCAACAAGCGCAGCTGCAACAACTGTCGCCAACGGAAGGTCCGATGTGATAGGAAACACCCGTGTGAGGCATGCTCACGGTTGGGGAAAGACTGTGTATTTCCCGGGGCAAAGCGGGCGTCCCGAAAATTGAATAGACCTCCGGTTTCTGAATTAATGGCTCGCTTGAAACAGTTGGAAGATGCTGAGAGGCTTCGATCAATGCATCCTGCAGGCAAGGGTGACACCGTGTCTAATCTAGGAAAATGTAGTGAGGATCAGGTACCTGGTTCAACCAGAACAAATATTGAGAAACCAGATCAGAGTGGCCGGTTGGTAGTCAGAGATGGGAGGAGTCGGTATGTTGATGATGATGCTTCTGTGATATTTGGAGATAAGGTAGGAAAGTTGGTGTTCTTTGAATGGCTCATCGGTGGTTGCTGATAATTTACAGATCCAAGAGCTGCGGGATGTGGTTGAAAGTTCATCGTCGGAGGATGATATTAAGACAGAAGATATCTTGGGACCATTTGGCCTCCCGCACGGAGGCCTTGTTGGAGATACTAATTGGACCAACATGAGTTCTCAAGGGTTCCATCCTCATTCAGCCCAATTATCCATGTTGTGGCGTATCTACCAAACTCACGTTCACCCGTTGATTGCTGTCCTGCATGTACCATCAGTGGAGCAGATCGTGCGCGACTCAGCTGATGGCATCGCTTTAGAGCCCGGCAGCAGATCCCTGATGTTATCTGTCTGCTTTGCTGCTGTCGTTAGCATGGCACCTGATCAGTGTGCATCAGTACTTGGACAATCGCATGACATAGCCATTCAGGGCTTGAGTGTAGCTGTGAACGGGGCCTTAAAGCAGGCCAACTTTATAAGGTCCCAAAATATCTCTGTTCTTCAAGCAGCGGTGGTCTTTCTGCTGTGCTTTCGCGTAGTAGGTGACACAAGGATTGTATGGGCTGAAGCTGCCGTGGTTGTGCGTATCGCTCAGGGCCAGGGTATTCATCGTGATGGATCAAAATTTGGCCTAAGCCCTTTCGAAACAGAAATGCGTCGACGATTGTGGTGGCATGTCTGTATATTAGACATGCTTGCTTCAGAGGATCAAGGAACCGATACCCAGATCAAACCAGACACGTTTGATACACGTCTCCCCTCCAACGTCGATGGCTATGACCTAGTCCCGGATATGACAGAGCTACCATCCGAGAGAATGGGGTATACTGATATCACTCTCTGCATTATCAACTGCCAAATTGCGGCTAGCGTCTCCCAATTGGGTCCTTCCTTCGGTCGGGATTCGAAGATATCAATTAGTGACCGGGAGGCCCACGTCAAAGCTCTAGCATCTCGTCTTCAAGACCACTATCTGGACCATTTTGACCTTGGAGTTCCTATACAATGGATGGTCGCAACGATCGGTCGGCTCATGCTGTCGAAAGTATGGTTGGCGATCCACATACAAAAGACATCAAAAGGCGTCAACGAGTCGGCTTCCACGAAACAAGTAGCCGATCCTATCTTCCAAACCGCCGTCGAAATCACCGAATTTGCTTATTTCTTGCAGGAAAATGAAACTACTGCACATTTTGCCTGGTTATGCCGAAGCTACAAGCAGTGGCACGCCTTAGCTTACGTTCTGTCGGAACTCTGCGCTCGGGACATCAGCCCGGAAACCGACCATGCCTGGAACGTGGTAACCAATATGTACAATAAGTGTGTGAAAGAAGCGCCTGTGACATACTCCCTGTTCCAAAAGCCTCTGTCGCGGCTGATGGAGCGCGCCGCCACGGCTAGGGCTGAAAAACTGGGAATTTCTCGTGAGGTCCTAGATGATCAATCGGCAGGGACTTTGGAGTCAAGTATGGGGGCCCTGAATAGTCAAAGCAAACAAAGCCTGTTCCCTCCCATGCCAAACGTTCATAATTCATGGCATATTCCTAACGGTGACGAGTCTACCGAACCAGTTTATTTCGATAGCACTGGCCTGATCCGCGAAGTGTCTGCCTCTGGAATAACCGACCATCTTTACTCTAACATAGACTGGCTCTTTGAGCCCCTGATGTGAGAAATTAGCTAAGCAACCTACAGTATTTCCTCTTCACCATGTAAGTGGTGCTTAGATTATCTGACCCCCGTGGCCGGTGTTTATCTCAATGCAGTGATCAGTCCTGGAGGCAAACGTACATGTGCTAAAGCTTCAGAAGAATTCACTGCTCCACATAATGAGGCCAGCACCGAAGCCAAGGATTACACATATAGGAAGATCAAGACTAGGGGCCTCAAAAGCTCACTCTCCAAAATTGTCGATGGCACAAACTGCCACCCTTCCCACTAATATGCCGTGATGACAGTATAAATGTTGCGATTGGAAAAGCGGACTACATGTTAGCTTCTAATAAGACCAAAGGTCAATAAACAAAACCATCGGAATATACTACGTGGCTGAGAGAAGATGTAGGCACGATCCCATTTCGTTAAGGGCAAACTTCAACCATAACTCCATAGGAATGGACAGTAGTGGCGTAGGTGGAGAAGATTTTGCCCTAAGTTAATCTCTTTATTTCTGATCCTACTGCGTACCTTCAGTTGAAATTAAAGAGATTGTGCCAGAGAGATATCATCCCAGATTTTCATCGGACAATTAGCCGTTGATTGTTATACTATCTTATAAATGTGGGTCTATGCGTAAGTCAGTACATACTCCGTACGGGATTATGCCCCATGGGAGGCGAAAGGTCCGAGCCATAATCTAATTCAACCCGCTATAGTTGAACCCCACTTGGCTGTAGCGTCCAACATCCCACAACTGTTGATTGACGGAAAACACATCCCCAATTGATCGCTTTGCTGCGCGAGGAAGCAATAAGACTGCCTATCATGCCAGATCCCAAGATGGAACTGCCCGTGACAGATGACTACGTTCATGTCCAGCTCCTTAATGGAGGAAGCATGACGGCGCAGTCCCACATACTCCACGCGGGGGAGGAGCCGGAAGAGTTTCGGCTGTATAACTGGGCGTTTTTTATCCATCACGTTAAACAAAACCGACGCATGATCTGGGATCTGGGAATGTCATCAGTACGTCTCTCTGCTCTCCAAGCCTCGGTCCCTGCTCAGAAACATAAAGTATTAATTGGTCAAAGGTTCCAGAAGATTTTCCCCCAGCTATCGTCAACGGACCATTTAAAGAAATTCATCCTCAGGATCCTCACGAGTCGATTGAAAAGCAAATCGAGCGTCGTAACGGGGTTGGAGCTGATGAAATCGACACCATTTTGCTCAGGTTCGAAAACAATAATTGTCCCTTGCGCTGACTGCAGCGCTCGCAGTTTGGGTACGATACAGCTGTCTTACCTATATATAGTCATGCACATTTTGATCACTGCCGACCAGTAAGCCAGACCTTTAAGAATGCGACTGTGCTTTTCGGCCCTGGTACATCTGAATACTGCGGCCCAGGCCATTTCGTGAACCCATCCTCTACATGGGACGGAAGATACTTCGATCCAGAACGGGCGACAGAACGATGGGAGACGTTGCAGGGGCCATGGAAGCGTTTTGGGCCGTTCGAGCGCGCGATGGACTTTTTTGGAGACGGGAGCTTCTGGGTCATTCAGGCTCCAGGCCATATGCCAGGTAATATGTGTGCTTGTGCTAGGCTCGCCACAGGCGAGTGGGTTATGTTGGCTTCGGATTGTTGTCATTCACGGTACTCGATTTATTGATTTTCTCGAGACCTAAACTAACTCTTACACAGGGCACTACTCGATGGTACCAAGGACTTCGGGACCTTCGAGGTCGGCGGGACCATGGCTTGTCTCCACACAGATGTCACTGCAGCAAAAGATACGCTGGCACGGATTAGATTGTTGGAAAAAGAGCTGGGGGTTCACGTTGCCTTAGCGCATGACGCTACCTGGATGCAGGAGGAGAATGATCCAGTTTTATTCTCTCTCCTGGACGAGAAGTTCGTTAAAGATATGCGTGCCGCGTTTCCACAGCAAGAGCCGTTCTAGCGGGGCTTTTATCGGCCATATAGAGTTAATTCGAAGTATGGGATGTTGGGCGTGTAGTTGTAATAGCATTCAATTGGTTGAGGCTTTGAGATTATATCATTGACTACAGCCCTTACCGGAGGGTTCGGCCTGGATGAAATTTAACCTGTACTGTTGATATATAAAAGGCATAGTTTTGCATCACGCTACCAATCGTACTGAGTATATAAAACGACCTTGTATTGCAAAGAGGGTTTGAAAGGGCCCAAGGAGCAACAGGAGCACTGGAACCTGCTTGAATTTAATTTGTTTGCGTTTACCTGAAAATATAAAATACCAATATTTTATTTAGTTCAACATACTTGGGCGTAACGTGTATTGAAATTGCGGACGTAATGGAATGCTTATATGCTGCATAGCCGATTAAACTGCGATGATGTTTTGACTATCGCGTAAAGGTCTCTTGTGGGTGTTAGAGACAGCAGGATGTTCACCAGCAATTCAGGTGACAATAATGATAGATTTGGAGACATCTAGGCAGCATAATGTTCAATCACTAGAGAAAGGGAGTTCGAGAGGTACCATCTCAACTGTAGCTATACTGAAAGAAAGAAGAGGGCATCCGAAACAACATTGGGCGGGGTTTGGAGTTAAACAGATGTCACATGATATAGCTGCGCTGCTGTGGCCGGTAGTCATTGTTTAGATTCTATCCTGGTCACCTCAGCTTACCAGTCGACTTTGCTAGTGAAATAAGAAAGTGTTCGGGGAGGAGCGACACCATTATTAGTATTTATGCAAGGCACGGGCCGCATATTTCCGCCAAGGCTTGGTCGGTTCTGTGGCTCTCGGTTCTATACCGACCTTGATCATTGTATAATACGCACAAGCTGCCTTTATTCATGAAAGCTTTAGGAAGCATACGCTGCCTATCTACGTAATGTTCCAATCTTAGTTCAAATGGGTTCATTATAAATGACTTCCAAACACATTGCGCAGTCTCTATGCGTGCTATGCAGGCAAGCTCCGACTGTTGGGTCACATATTCTTGTTGCGTCCTGCTTTTTTTCGTGGTTATAGCTCGTCTAACTCGTTGGCAGACCAAGATCAGAAATTGCACACTATTGGATAGGTCCGATGGGACCACGATCTTAGCCAGCTAGGTGATAGGATAATGACATATGATGACTAGATCGAAACGTAAAATATCTTTCCGCCCGGAACATGAAAAGATGTGTTAGAATGTGAAAGCCAGCCCGTAACCTTCCATAACCCTATTCAGATGGCGGCACAGCTTTCATCGTTTGGACCGCTTGTCTGATCAGCCGAGCTTCTGAGGAATGAAGCTCAACATACTGGGAACGCACATCCAAATCGAGTGAGCCAAACAAGGGGGTAAAAAAAGTTTCCTCTCGATCGCACTGCCAAGCTCGGCCTTCTGTGCCAAATGATGTAAAAGCATACACAAATTCCAACTCAGGATGTTCTCCAAGATATCTCATACAAGTATCGAATGCTTGTTTCTCGGCATCCTGAACATCTCGAGGCACGTTCAATGCCTTTGCCTCATGGAAGGCAAGAACGGCTAATTTACTATCTTGACCAAAATATTCTATCGTGATATCCACCCGTCGACGGCCATGTCCCTCCGGAGGAGGCTCCAAGGAGATAGCCCATTCCTTCTCTGCAAAGAGGTGTTTATTCCATAAATGAGACCATAATTTGGCGGAAGCCATTCGTTCGAAGATTGCGCTTGGGCTAGCTCCCAAAGACACTTAAGAAGTTTGTCGGTGATCAGTGACATTATCTTCCTATGACTGGTTAGAAGACAAAAGATTGTCTAAGTATCGCTCACGTACCAGTTAGTTGTTAATTCCGACTTGCCGTTGATCTATGGGTTTTGGCTAAGGGTCCGCTAAAGGTGATCAGCGATGGTTGTATTTGCGATGCAGAATTGATAAAATGAGTTGGAAAGCTGGCATGTGTTGAAGTCAGCTTCTGCCCCAGACGAGGAGTCGATCCCAGCCCTTTATAGCTTCAGGGAAATTCTCAAGCACTATGACATTGAGGTCTCGAGTGTCGTAAGTACCAACAGGATTCTGTTTATTCGTTACTCGGCACACAGAGTTAAAGGCTGGTACAACGTTGCAATGTCACGAACACCAACCAACTCTAGCCGCTGGGTTGCTTCTGAGCACGGATGAGGCGTTAGGCATCGATTAAAGCAGGGATACTAATCCCACTACCTACTCCGGCCAACCAGGAAACCAGTTCTACCGCTAGCAAGCCCTTGGCTGAGCTCAGAGAGGTGCTATACAAACACTACCCGCCGCACTAGGGATGCAAAATGAGCCCTTCAACAGTGAGCTGGCGGCTTACTAGAACTAGGCATATAGCCACCAATGCAAAACACAGCGCTTTGGCTTCCTCGATGCCGTGGTTAGTGGAGCGCAGAACCTAGTATCATCCTGTAAAGTAGATCCAGAAATGCACCGCTCAGCTCTCCTGGCAGTGGCAATGGCCTCCAGGTTAAGCTGATCGGAGGCTGTTGAGTCTACGTTCGCGATCCTCCTGTGATGCTTCGCAATGTCTGTGCGGGTCCTCTTGTTATGCGCGGCTGCCTGAATTTGACCTACCTAGTACGTGCTAGGTATTCTCAGTATTATCCTGAAGCAGTTAGGTTATATGTAGGCAAGGACAGGGTTGGCCACCTTGAAACGAACGACGAGCAAATCGAAGCCCAATTTTGAACAGTTCTAGCGTAGAGTTAAGGCTGGGACATACAAAATGAGGCACATGGCTTCCATAAGTCGAGCCAAAGGCAGCTAGATTTGAAACTTGGCCACATTTCGAGCAGCCTTTCCGCGAGATTTCGACCAAACTTCAAACCAGCAGCTGTTGTTCTATGATCGCGTGCTCAAGAGACATACGGACAGTTCAGAATGGTAGGGTATCTCTCGAAAGCGGAGCTTCAGCAACTTAAACGAATTGGGAGTTCAATATTGACACCCGGATATGAGTTTGAAGCTGGAAAGACTAATGTTCTTGCATTCAAAGTGATTGACATTTG